AGCTGAAGCACTGTACACAGAGACGTTTACTCACTGAACTAACGTTGGATGAAAATTACGCAAGAAATGAACACTCTTTGTCTTCTAAAATACTACCAGGTATTGCTTTTAAATTATTTCATTCAATGCAGAACTGATTATGGTCATTGTACACAAAATGAAGAATTAAGTGAGTATTTTAGTCAATATACCTTAAAATTCTAAGCAAATTCCACAGTTGTATTTGACAAAATAACCATTTACTTCCTTAATGATCTAATAAAATAATAAATACCTTGACATGTTGAAATCCACCAGAACAAAACAAATGAAAGGAAGTCAAACTTTGCCATCTTGTATTCTGTCTATAAAGGTAAAGTGAAGATGCAACTTAAGTAAAATCACAGAACTGCTACAGAAATATATGATGTATTCCTTCATATTTTATGTATATTTTGATTTCCTATAACCATTAATATTGAAGGAAACAATCAGTCCAGAGCGATGTAACAGAGCGATCATATTTTATCAAAACCTGTCTCATGACAAGCCACACAAATTACCCAGAGTTGTTTTAAAAAAAGAATACCAGCCACACAATCTTTATTCTGTAATTTTATCCTTACATATGACTTAATGGTGCTTTTAGATGAATGTATAAATTGTGAAAGCATACTTCGACACGCTGTGCCAATATCCATTTCCTAGTTGATTATAATGCTCTTGAAGACGATGAGCATCCACAAGTGGATTTTGTAAGAAAATCATTGTGAAAAATAACATCTGTATAAATCGCTTTTGCTGAAATATTCTTAGTAATTTTCACAATTTTAATGCACAATTAAAATTTCTTATACTTTGTCTACAAAGAATTCCAGATGGGGGGGGGGGACTTTGGAATCACCAAAGGCCCTGGGAAAGCTTGATCCGCCCCTTTTTACCACATCTATCCTACCAATGATCTTATCCTGCAGTTTTTAGATGAAAACACCAAACGTGGCTAGATTGAGAATGTTCTTGACGAGTCCCAGGGGGCATGCATCACTGAGAAATTTTTGATTTCGTAAAACAGTGAATCAAATGACAAATAACCAAGTTGTCCTTTAACTTTTACCACTTCAACCCATGCAAGCAACTTCAATTCAGATGGTTGGACTGCAAACTTCTGTTTAGCAAAGGACTGTACATGGATGACGTCAAAGGACTTTGCTCTTTTTAATCGGGTATAATAGAATTTAAGATTGTTTAAAAAAGAGCAAATACCATGGTGAATGGTCAAAATAATAACGTAACAGTTCTTAAAAGAACTGTTTAAAACCAGAACACTAAACTCAACAAGTCACCAAAACAAATTCAGAAATTAAAAGTACAAAAGTAATGTTCTATAATTTCTTTTAATCGTTGTATTTACATTGTTTTACCATTAGCTTAGAATCTTAAATGAAAGAAAATTTTACAAAATTTTAGTAAATATGGGGACAATATAGAATTGCAAATCCGGTTTAAAATAAAGCGTATTCACTCCTAAGTAAGACATTTGAATTTTACGAATCATTTCAGTGTAAGAAATAATTGAAAATCGGCATTCTGCGGTATATATATATTTAGGCTATCTTCTACCTTAGGCTATCCTGCTCATCTGTCATTGATTATCATTAAAGGTCAATGAATATTGCCCACTGATGAGCATAATTGAGATGTTCGCTCGCTGAAAACTACCATTACACGAAGCAAGGACAGCACTATCCATTGTGCAGTGACTCACACATTAAAATTTTGTTACATTTTGTTCACTAAATAGTTTCAATTGCAGTATGCTGTCTTCCTAGAAATTTTTAAATTAAAAATTGCTATTACCGCCCAAGCTTGCTGAAACAAAGCCACTCAATGTTAGCTTGTCTTTGGGGGTAGGTAAAATCTCACATCTACAGTAGACACGAAAATAAAGAAGCAAAAATAATAATGATCACGAAATTGTTTTATTCGTAAACATCCCTTACACTAATGCATATGAAATCATTCAATCGTAAAGAAATAATTTAAAGAGTTTTCCATTACACTCCTTGAAATTGCTTGATTTTTCTATCGAATTTCTACACTTAATTTCTATGTAAATAAAAGTTTAAATGGTTTAACCATGATAATTAAAATAATAAAAGTAAAACTACGATTAAAACAATATTCTATTCAAAATGCTGCGTTAAAGTCAGTGTGTAATGTTGTTGCCTAATAAAGGCAAGTAAAATACATTCACAAACTGTAGCATAGATGCCAAGATTCAAGTTTGTTCATGGCAAACGATTATGTACACAGACACAATCATAAAGTATTCAGTTTAGTACTGTTTAGAGATCAAATCTAGATTATATAATGAAGAACAAAATAAAACTTTATAAATGTAGTAACAGTCTTTACGTACTCTTGTTTTATTAACGACGATCGCCAGTTCTAAAGGAAATTTATAATAAGATTAAACTACCATAATAAGAGAAAGAAAAACATGTTTTCGGCATTTTTTAAAAAAATATTCAACAAATGAATCAATTTTTACTTTTTTCTTCAACCATCAATGAATGACGTCGAGCTTTGTGGATCTTTTCTAAAAGATAAAACTTACTATTCCTTCTTTTCATCTCCTTCTTTGTCACCGCCTTTCTTGTCGTCTTTTTTCTCGACAGGTGCCAGTTTACTCATATCAATACTGGCGTATTCAGTTGGTGCAGGACGATTTTTGTCTGGCTTTCTTTTCAGCTCATCTTTAAAGTCAAGGTAGGAGTATAACTAAATAAAAACATACGTATATATTGTCATTGTATATGTATATTTTATCAGTGTGAAGATTTGTAATCCAGAAATAATTCTTGTTAAAAATTGAAAGTTTCTCCGGATTGTAAATAGCTAATAACTTCATAAATTCTGAAGAAGGCAGGAAGCATCGAGTCGAAAACTCAATAAAATTATATATAAAAATCCAGAGAAACTTTCAATGTTTAACGATATATTTTATCATATATACATAAGGTGATAAAATATATATAGATTTTTATACATCGTAAATGACCTAATAAACACAGGACGTTAAATAAATGCAATAGCAGCCTAGAAAGGGAAGAAAAGGGTTAGGGGTTAGAGAAAGACGTTTACATCATTCTCTATCGCCATATTGTGAGCAAATAAAAACAAAATCAAGACTAAATATGCGGTTTCTTAGCCCAATCGATAACCCACTGTTAACAATAACAACGTGTGGGGTGCGACTATTGGAGTCAGGGCGTTTATTAGAGAGAACAGTCTAATATAAAATCAAGTTTCAATGAAGGAATTCGTACGTATTGTTTTCAATTGCGTTTACAGGTCTTTGGGGATCATGTATTGCTGAATTGTATAAATTCCAAATGTCGCAGGTGTTTTCAAATATGAGCAGTTTTTTATAAACACCCTGCATAATCTCCATGATGCATTCAAAATCATCATCATAATCCAACTAAAACAAAATAAATGCACAAATTTTATGTATAAATAATAAATGACAAATATCAACAACAAACCGAATTTCCTTCTCTGTTTTCTCTATCAATCGAGGCACAAACAGGTGGTGGTGCTTTACTTGTTGATGGTTTACTTTCATCACCTGTTGATGGATTATTTACTGTTTCATATTGATTGCCCACAGATTCATAAGCATTTTCTCTAAGTCCTCCAGCAAGTTCCTCATGAATGGGTTGTGCATTATTAGCTCCTGCTAATGGTTCAACACCATTTTCACCACTGCAACATTAACAACCATGATTAAATTTTGTACATAATATGGACGAAACGAAGAAAATATAGATACAACATTAATACAACAGTTCGTACTGTACGAAATACAACAGCTTCTCTAACTTGCACAAACCATGAAAATATCTTATTCAAAAGATGAGAAACAAAAAATACATTAACATCACATATCACACAAAGAAAATTAAAATGGATAATTCACTTACTGTTATCCTTTTTCTACAATAAACATAACACAAAAATAGATACTTTATAATTTAGCATTATGATAACATATGATAACAAGATTGGAAGCACTTTGATTGAGCATTGGATAGATTGAATTGAACATTTCCATTAAGTCTAAGGAAAAGGACGAGATGTTAATTGCATTGTGTGGCTAGAGCTAAAGTTTGCTATAAAAGAGCGATTTGCTTAAATTTTCTTTTAAGGATTTTTAGCATCTCAGGTAGCGCATGCAAAGTGAACAGAAAGAGCTAATAGTATTTTAAACATAAATATGATTTTAAAGCATTGTAAATAAATTACCTTTCGTGTTGCAATCAGTAGATGAATATCTTGACAAATGTTTAAATGACAAATGCTAAAATAGCTACACAGAAATCAACTCAAATTATAATGTCAAAGAGATGAAAATGCTGACTGAATACTGAATGACAGAAATATCTATTGAAAAAAATGATAATAATCGACCAAAAAGAACAAATCAAATGAAACAGTGAAACTCAACCTTTTTACCTTGGTTGACAGTGAAATTCTTAACATCAAATCTTTGCCCAGTGTAAACTTTGCTTCACAACGATAAAAAGAACGATAAAAAAGGCAAAATTTGATGCCACGGATCCGGGTGAAGCAGTCTGAGTCCATAGAGCACGCTCAGTAGCTGATTTACAATTTGAGTACGATCACAATTTTAGACGGCCAAACTACGACTAGCGTAAGAATGGCCATGTCCAAATCACTTACAAACAAGCGCAGAGCGCGCTAGTCAGTAAAAGTCCAGATTAGTGGAATTTTCCCACTAATTTGGTAACTAATGAGATTTTTGCCCGCTGCTTCATAAAGCAATTTACTTTATGAAGATTTTCATTTGTAAAAAAGACTTTTTTTACAATCTTGTACTATCGTGTACAAATGCAAGTCAATTGAAGATGAACATTGACAAGTCGTAAGTAATTCTGATTTACGTGCAAAGTAGGATACTATCTCAAAAATTGATAAAAGTGAGATTTTAATTTTACCTGTGATGATAGTAAGATTTTTAACATCAGATAAATCATTTCCCAGTTTATTCTTTGCTTCACAACGATATGAACCAGCGTTATTGAAGTTGACAGATTGAATAATGTATGTCTTATTATTACTGATAACTGCACCATTATGATAAATAGTGTAGGTTGGCTCAGGATAACCATCTGATTCACAGGTTATTGTCACAGTTTGACCTTGTTTAACTGACATTGGACTGATGGTGATATTGGTTTGTTGTGGTGGATCTGTATAGAATAAAATTAAATTCAATATTCGACACAAACGTTTATAATGAGATCTGAAAAGCTGTCTTACAAACTTACAAGTAGCTTTCACTGTCACTTCAATAGATTTTTCATCTCTAAAACGTGGATCATTATAACTTTGTGCTTTACATGTGTAATTTCCACCATCATTCAATGTAACATTAGTGATTACTAATGTCTTATTTACAACTCCAACATCACCAATTATGTTGTTATCTTTATCAAACCATGTGACATTAGCAGGAGGGATACCTCCTTCACCTCTACATACACATGATACATTATCACCTTCATTCACAACCAGAGGTGTTGAACAATTAATTACCACATTTGGTTTCACTGAAATTAAAACAGAAAATATTCCTTTCTTAAATTAGTTATGAAAAAGAAAATTAATAATGAGAGTATTCGTTAGTGTTAGGTGCATTTGCTTAGGAGTGTTGGATCGATACCCTAACCAGCCACAAGCCAGCAGTAAGCCCGCTTATCACTCGCTAAAAGTGCAGATCAGTGAAAGTTTCACTAAACTGCTATCCAATGAGATTTTTGCATTAAACCGCTGCATTATTAACCAATTGTCTTAATGAAAATCTTATTTGTAAAAAAGACTTTGATGTTGGAAAAGAACAACAACATAACAATAATCACTCAAATTTCAAGATGTATATTAATAATAAATTTTTGAAATTTTGAAAGTCAATCGCGTGACCGAGTAGACATAAAAAGTTTGACTTATTATGAAGCCTAAACAACTATCGTTGGTCTTCGAAGAACTATAAACAAATCATAGTCGTCTAAGGCTCTTGATAAGCTGTTTAATGAGGATATGCAATAGGAAAAGTTAACAGCTAGGTGACGACAGATTCATACGTCAGCGCAGCAGGCAGCGAAAGGGGTATATGAGGCGTAGGCTTAAGAGTCAATCATAATTGACAGTGGTAGTCTTTTAGCACAACGAATCTAAACCTCGCCAACAAAGAAAGATATATAACTATCTTCATTGTTCAGCACAATCTTGTACTATCGTGTACAAATGGAATGAAAGTGAACAGTCGTAATTTGTTCATGTACAATGCAGAATACTAGCCCAGAAATTGATGAAGTAAAATTTTAATTCTACCTCTGATGATAGTAAGATTTTTAACATCAGATAAATCATTTCCCAGTATATTCTTCGCTTCACAACGATATGAACCAGCGTTATTGAAGTTGACAGATTGAATGATGTATATCTTATTATTACTGATAACTGCACCATTATGATAAATAGTGTAGGTTGGTTCAGGATAACCATCTGATTCACAGGTTATTGTCACATTTTGACCTTGTTTTACTGACATTGGACTGATGGTGATATTGGTTTGTTGTGGTCGATCTGTAAAGAATAAAATTAAATCCAATATTCGAAACAAACGTTTATAATGAGATCTGAAATGATGTCTTACAAACTTACAAGTAGCTTTCACTGTTACTTCAATAGATTTTTCATCTCTAAAACGTTGATCATTATAACTTTGTGCTTTACATGTGTAATTTCCACCATCATTCAATGTAACATTAGTGATTACTAATGTCTTATTTACAACTCCAACATCACCAATTATGTTGTTATTTTATCAAACCATGTGACATTAGCAGGAGGGTTACCTCCTTCACCTCTACATACACATGATACATTATCACCTTCATTCACAACCAGAGGTGTTGAACAATTAATTACCACTGTAGGTTTCACTGAAATTAAAACAGAAAATATTCCTTTCTTAAATTAGCTATGAAAAAGAAAATTAATAATGAGAGTATTCGTTAGTGTTAGATGCATTTTCTTAGGAGTGTTGGATCGATGCCCTAACCAGTCACAAGCCAGCACGAAGCCCGCTTATCAGTAGCTAAAAGTCCAGAATAGTGGAAATTTTCCACTAAACTGCTATCCAATGAGATTTTTGCATTATTGTCGATTTCAGTTAACTTTTCAAATGGCGGTTGCCAAGTTACTTTCTAATGTTGCCAACTAAATTTCCAAATATGGAATATTCGAAAAGAACTTGTCAACTTGAGTTGACAAGTTGTGTACTTGAGTACTGAAGTTGTGTACTTGAGTACTGAAGTTGTGAACTAAAGTTGCGAAGTACAAGCAAACGCCAAAGGTCTTTGTACCCTGTAGACATTTGGCAATGAATCCGTTCAGTAAGCAAGGAAAAGCTTTAGCAATTCTAATCCGTTTGACGGCCCTCTAAGAGTGTTATAATGCGATACGCCGTTTACATTATGTAATAAATTTACAGTAAATGTGGCACTAGAAGAGTATCATTGATTTTAAATGCAGGAGTACCCTGCATACTGTGCCCTCGACGTCTGTAGCCACTCGTAACAACTACAGACGACTCATCAAAGAAATGCATACGGTTGCAATCAATCAATGAAATATTTGCTACGTAAGCTTCTAACTTCTCCATAACGCCTGGCCGTTCTGTCTCTCGAGGAATTTGACTTATTACCTTGTTAGAGTAACCAAGATCTTTTTTCGAAATTCTGCTAATGGATGACCTGCTAGGTATGTTTGCTGGAAGGCAAACTTTGTTATTTCTAGGTGTTGCTGAATCTCTGCGTAAATAGATGGTTTATTAATTTTTATTCAGCGTATGCAATAACGTCATCTGTACGCGTGTTCGAACATCACGTTCGCTCTGGCGAGGTGCAATAAAACCAGTGTCTACCCATAGATCTATTAAATTTGATATAGTCTTATACGGTAGGTTTAGTTGTTTCAAAATGATTGTCAAACACTCATTATTTAACCACATTTCAAGTATTTCATTTCTTACTTCTATTGGTAAAGCTTTTCCTTGCTTACTGAACGGATTCGTTGCCAAATGTCTACAGGGTACAAAGACCTTTCGCGTTTGCTTGTACTTCGCAACTTTAGTTCACAACTTCAGTACTCAAGTTCACAACTTCAGTACTCAAGTACACAACTTGTCAATTCAAGTTGACAAGTTCATATCGAATATTCCATATTTGGAAATGTAGTTGGCAACATTAGAAAGTAACTTGGCAACCGCCATTTGAAAAGTTAACTGAAATCGACGGTAAACCGCTGCATTATTAACCAATTTACTTATTGAAAATCTTATTGGTAAAAGACTTTGATGTTGGAAAACAACAACAACAATTTAAAGTCGATCGCGTGACCGACTAGACCTAAAGAATATTGACTTATTATGAAATCTAAAAAACTATCATTGGTCTTCGAAGAACTATAAACAAATCATAGTCGTCTAAGGCTTTTGATAACCTATTTAATGAGGATATGCAATAGGCAAAGTTAACAGCTAGGTGACAACAGATGCATACGTCAGCGCAGTAGGCAGCGAAAGGGCAATGTGTATGCCTAAGAGTCAATCATAATTGGCAGTAGTAGTCTTTCAGCAAAACGAATCTAAATCTCGCCAACAAAGAAAAATATATAACTATCTTCATTGTTCATCACAATCTTGTACTATCGTGTACAAATGGGATGAAACTGAACAGTCGTAATTTGTTCAAGTACAATGCAGAATACTAGCCCAAAAATTGATGAAGTAAAATTTGAATTTTACCTCTGATGATAGTAAGATTTTTAACTTGAGATGAATCATTTCCCAGTCTATTCTTTGCTTCACAACGATATGAACCAGCGTTATTGAAGTTGACAGATTGAATGATGTATGTCTTATTATTACTGATAACTGCACCATTATGATAAATAGTGTAGGTTGGTTCAGGATAACCATCTGATTCACAGGTTATTGTCACATTTTGACCTTTTTTTACTGACATTGGACTGATGGTAATATTGGTTTGTTGTGGTGGATCTGTATAGAATAAAATTAAATTCAATATTCTACACAAACGTTTATAATGAGATCTGAAATGTTGTCTTACAAACTTACAAGCAGCTTTCACTGTTACTTCAATAGATTTTCATCTCTAAAACGTGGATCATTATAACTCTGTGCTTTACATGTGTAATTTCCACCATCATTTACTGTAACATTAGTGATTACTAATGTCTTATTTACAACTCAACATCACCAATTATGTTGTTATGTTTATCAAACCATGTGACATTAGCAGGAGGGATACCTCCTTCACCTCTACATACACATGACACATTATCACCTTCATCCACAACCAGAGGAGTTGAACAATTAATTACCACTGTAGGTTTCACTGAAATTAAAAACAGAAAATATTCCTTTCTTAAATTAGTTATGAAAAAGAAAATTAATAATGAGAGTATTCGTTAGTGTTAGGTGCATTTTCTTAGGAGTGTTGGATCGATGCCCTAACCAGTCACAAGCCAGCAGTAAGCCCGCTTATCAGTCGCTAAAAGTCCAGATTAGTGGAAATTTTCCACTAAACTGCTATCCAATGAGATTTTTGGACTAAGCCGCTGCATTATTAACCAATTTGCTTAATAAAAATTTCATTTGTAAAAAGACTTTGATGTTGGAAAAGAACAACAAAATAACAATAATCACTCAAATTTCAAGATGCATATAAATAATAAATTTTGAAATTTTGAAAATCAATCGCGTGACCGACTAGACATAAAAAATATTGACTTATTATGGAGCCTAAACAAATATTGTTGGTCTTCGAAGAACTACAAACAAATCATAGCCGTTTAAGTCTCTTGATAACCTATTTAATGAAGATATGCAATAGGAAAGTTAACAGCTAGGTGACGACAGTTGCATACGTCAGCGCAGCAGGAAGCGAAAGTGGCATATGAGGAGTAAAGACATGCATACACGTCAGCGCATCAGGCAGCGAAAGGGGTATATGAAGAGTAAAGACATGCATACACGTCAGCCCGGCAGGCAGCGAAAGGGGTATATGAGGTGTAGGTTTAAGAGTCAATCATAATTGGCAGTGGTAGTCATTCAGCACAACCAATCAAAATCGCGCCAACAAAGAAAAATATATAACTATCTTCATTGTTCAGCACAATCTTGTACTATCGTGTACAAATGGGATGAAACTGAACAGTCGTAATTTGTTCAAGTACAATGCAGAATACTAGCCCAAAAATTGATGAAGTAAAATTTGAATTTTACCTCTGATGATAGTAAGATTTTTAACTTGAGATGAATCATTTCCCAGTCTATTCTTTGCTTCACAACGATATGAACCAGCGTTATTGAAGTTGACAGATTGAATAATGTATGTCTTATTATTGCTGATAACTGCACCATTATGATAAATAGTGTAGGTTGGTTCAGGATAACCATCTGATTCACAGGTTATTGTCACATTTTGACCTTTTTTTACTGACATTGGACTGATGGTAATATTGGTTTGTTGTGGTGGATCTGTATAGAATAAAATTAAATTCAATATTCTACACAAACGTTTATAATGAGATCTGAAATGCTGTCTTACAAACTTACAAGCAGCTTTCACTGTCACTTCAACAGATTTTTCATCTTTAAAACGTGGATCATTATAACTTTGTGCTTTACATGTGTAATTTCCACCATCATTTAATGTAACATTAGTGATTACTAATGTCTTACTTACAACTCCAACATCACCAATTATGTTGTTATCTTTATTAAACCATGTGACATTAGCAGGAGGGATACCTCCTTCACCTTTACATACACATGATACATTATCACCTTCATTGACAACCAGAGGTGTTGAACAATTAATTACCACTGTAGGTTTCACTGAAATTAAAACAGAAAATATTCCTTTCTTAAATTAGTTATGAAAAGAAAATTAATAATGACGGTATTCGTTAGTGTTAGGTGCATTTTCTTAGGAGTGTTGGATCGATGCCCTAACCAGTCACAAGCCAGCACGAAGCCCGCTTATCAGTAGCTAAAGTCCAAATTAGTGGAAATCTTCCACTAAACTGATATCAATGAGATTTTTGGATTAAACCGCTGCATTATTAACCAATTTGCTTAATAAAAATTTCATTTGTAAAAAAGACTTTGATGTTGCAAAAGAACAACAAAATAACAATAATCACTCAAATTTCAAGATGCATATTAATAATAAATTTTGAAATTTTGAAAGACCATCGCGTGACCGACTAGACATAAAAAGTTTGACTTATTATGAAGCCTAAACAACTATCATTGGTCTTCGAAGAACTATTGGTCTAAGGCTCTTGATAACCTATTTAATGAGGATATGCAATAGGCAAAGTTAACAGCTAGGTGACGACAGATGCATACGTCAGCGCAGCAGGTAGCAAAAGGGGTATATGAGGCGTAGGCTTACGAGTCAATCATAATTGGCAGTGGTAGTCTTTTAGCACAACGAATCTAAATCTCTATTAATCTCTACAAAGAAAAATATATTACTATCTTCAATTGTTCAGCACAAACTTGTACGATCGTGTACAAATGGGATGAAACTGAACAGTCGTAATTTGTTCATGTACAATGTAGAATACTAGCCCAGAAATTGATGAAGTAAAATTGTAATTCTACCTCTGATGATAGTAAGATTTTTAACATCAGATAAATCATTTCCCAGTTTATTCTTTGCTTCACAACGATATGAACCAGCGTTATTGAAGTTGACAGATTGAATGATGTATGTCTTATTATTACTGATAACTGCACCATTATGATAAATAGTGTAGGTTGGTTCAGGATAACCATCTGATTCACAGGTTATTGTCACATTTTGACCTTTTTTTACTGACATTGGACTGATGGTGATATTGGTTTGTTGTGGTGGATCTGTAAAGAATAAAATTAAATTCAAAATTCTACACAAACGTTTATAATGAGATCTGAAATGTTGTCTTACAAACTTACAAGTAGCTTTCACTGTTACTTCAATAGATTTTCATCTCTAAAACGTGGATCATTATAACTCTGTGCTTTACATGTGTAATTTCCACCATCATTTACTGTAACATTAGTGATTACTAATGTCTTACTTACAACTCAACATCACCAATTATCTTGTTATGTTTATCAAACCATGTTACATTAGCAGGAGGGATACCTCCTTCACCTCTACATACACATGACACATTATCACCTTCATCCACAACCAGAGGAGTTGAACAATTAATTACCACTGTAGGTTTCACTGAAATTAAAACAGAAAATATTCCTTTCTTAAATTAGTTATGAAAAGAAAATTAATAATGAGAGTATTCGTTAGTGTTAGGTGCATTTTCTTAGGAGTGTTGGATCGATGCCTAACCAGTCACAAGCCAGCACGAAGCCCGCTTATCAGTCGCTAAAAGTCCAGATTAGTGGAAATTTTCCACTAAACTGCTATCCAATGAGATTTTTGAACTAAGCCGCTGCATTATTAACCAATTTGCTTAATAAAAATTTCATTTGTAAAAAGACTTTGATGTTGGAAAAGAACAACAAAATAACAATAATCACTCAAATTTCAAGATGCATATTAATAATAAATTTTTAAATTTTGAAAATCAATCGCGTGACCGACTAGACATAAAAAATATTGACTTATTATGGAGCCTACACAAATATTGTTGGTCTTCGAAGAACTACAAACAAATCATAGCCGTTTAAGTCTCTTGATAACCTATTTAATGAAGATATGCAATAGGAAAGTTAACAGCTAGGTGACGACAGATGCATACGTCAGCGCAGCAGGTAGCAAAAGGGGTATATGAGGCGTAGGCTTACGAGTCAATCATAATTGGCAGTGGTAGTCTTTTAGCACAACGAATCTAAATCTCTATTAATCTCTACAAAGAAAAATATATTACTATCTTCAATTGTTCAGCACAAACTTGTACGATCGTGTACAAATGGGATGAAACTGAACAGTCGTAATTTGTTCATGTACAATGTAGAATACTAGCCCAGAAATTGATGAAGTAAAATTGTAATTCTACCTCTGATGATAGTAAGATTTTTAACATCAGATAAATCATTTCCCAGTTTATTCTTTGCTTCACAACGATATGAACCAGCGTTATTGAAGTTGACAGATTGAATGATGTATGTCTTATTATTACTGATAACTGCACCATTATGATAAATAGTGTAGGTTGGTTCAGGATAACCATCTGATTCACAGGTTATTGTCACATTTTGACCTTTTTTTACTGACATTGGACTGATGGTGATATTGGTTTGTTGTGGTGGATCTGTAAAGAATAAAATTAAATTCAAATTCTACACAAACGTTTATAATGAGATCTGAAATGTTGTCTTACAAACTTACAAGTAGCTTTCACTGTTACTTCAATAGATTTTTCATCTCTAAAACGTGGATCATTATAACTCTGTGCTTTACATGTGTAATTTCCACCATCATTTACTGTAACATTAGTGATTACTAATGTCTTACTTACAACTCAACATCACCAATTATGTTGTTATGTTTATCAAACCATGTTACATTAGCAGGAGGGATACCTCCTTCACCTCTACATACACATGACACATTATCACCTTCATCCACAACCAGAGGAGTTGAACAATTAATTACCACTGTAGGTTTCACTGAAATTAAAAACAGAAAATATTCCTTTCTTAAATTAGTTATGAAAAGAAATTAATAATGAGAGTATTCGTTAGTGTTAGGTGCATTTTCTTAGGAGTGTTGGATCGATGCCCTAACCAGTCACAAGCCAGCACGAAGCCCGCTTATCAGTCGCTAAAAGTCCAGATTAGTGGAAATTTTCCACTAAACTGCTATCCAATGAGATTTTTGGACTAAGCCGCTGCATTATTAACCAATTTGCTTAATAAAAATTTCATTTGTAAAAAGACTTTGATGTTGGAAAAGAACAACAAAATAACAATAATCACTCAAATTTCAAGATGCATATTAATAATAAATTTTGAAATTTTGAAAATCAATCGCGTGACCGACTAGACATAAAAAATATTGACTTATTATGGAGCCTACACAAATATTGTTGGTCTTCGAAGAACTACAAACAAATCATAGCCGTTTAAGTCTCTTGATAACCTATTTAATGAAGATATGCAATAGGAAAGTTAACAGCTAGGTGACGACAGATGCATACGTCAGCGCAGCAGGCAGCGAAAGCGGTATAGGAGGAAAAAAGACATGCATACACGTCAGCGCAGAAGGCAGCGAAAGGGGTATATGAGGAGCAAAGACATGCATATACGTCAGCGCAGCAGGAAGCGAAAGTGGCATATGAGGAGTAAAGACATGCATACATGTCAGCGCAGAAGGCAGCGAAAGGGGTATATGAGGATAAACATGCATAATGTCAGCAGCAAGCGAAAGTGGCATATGAGGATAAAGATGCATATATTCCAAACGAAAGAGGAATGAAAGTATATATGAGGAGGAAAGAAATGACATGCGTCAGCGCATCAGGAAGCGAAAGTGGTATATGAGGTGTAAACATGTGACAGCCAGCGGAGCGAAAGGAAAGGTATATGAGGTGGATACATCAAGCAAGTCAGCAGGCAGCGAAAGAGGCAGCATGAGGGAGTAAAGATATGCACATCGCCAAGCGCAGTGGAGGGTAAAGGCAGGGTCAGGGCAGATGTGGAAGGAATGAGGAGTAAAGCAGAATAGTGATGGACAAGTGAGGGGTATGAGGAGGAAGACATGCATAAACGTCAGCGCAGCAGGAAGGAAAGTGGCATATGAGGAGTAAAGACATGCATACACGCAGCCGCATCAGGCAGCGAAAGGCATGGTTAAGAGTAAAGACATGCATACACGCACAGCCCGGCAGGCAGCGAAAGGGTATATGAGGTGTAGGTTTAAGAGTCAATCATAATTGGCAGTGGTAGACCATTCAGCACAACCAATCAAAATCGCGCCAACAAAGAAAAATATATAACTATCTTCATTGTTCAGCACAATCTTGTACTATCGTGTACAAATGGATGAAACTGAACAGTCGTAATTTGTTCAAGCACAATGCAGAATACTAGCCAAAATTGATGAAGTAAAATTTGAATTTTACCTCTGATGATAGTAAGATTTTAACTTGAGATGAATCATTTCCAAGTCTATTCTTTGCTTCACAACGATATGAACCAGCGTTATTGAAGGACAGATTGAATAATGTATGTCTTATTATTGCTGATAACTGCACCATTATGATAAATAGTGTAGGTTGGTTCAGGATAACCATCTGATTCACAGGTTATTGTCACATTTTGACCTTTTTTTACTGACATTGGACTGATGGTAATATTGGTTTGTTGTGGTGGATCTGTATAGAATAAAATTAAATTCAATATTCTACACAAACGTTTATAATGAGATCTGAAATGCTGTCTTACAAACTTACAAGCAGCTTTCACTGTCACTTCAACAGATTTTTCATCTTTAAAACGTGGATCATTATAACTTTGTGCTTTACATGTGTAATTTCCACCATCATTTAATGTAACATTAGTGATTACTAATGTCTTACTTACAACCCAACATCACCAATTATGTTGTTATCTTTATTAAACCATGTGACATTAGCAGGAGGGATACCTCCTTCACCTTACATACACATGATACATTATCACCTTCATTGACAACCAGAGGTGTTGAACAATTAATTACCACTGTAGGTTTCACTGAAATTAAAACAGAAAATATTCCTTTCTTAAATTAAAGTTATGGCAAAGAAAATTAAGTAATGACGTATTCGTTAGTGTTAGGTGCATTATCTTAGGAGTGTGGATCGATGCAACAGTCACAAGCCAGCACGAAGCCCGCATATGAGTAGCTAAAGTGCAAATTAGTGGAAATCTTCCACTAAAGATATGAAGAGTAAAGACATTAAACCGCTGCATTATTAGCCAATGGGCTATAAGTAAAACATGCATTTGTCAAAAGACTTTGGTATATGAGGAGTAAAGACATGATACACGTCAGCGCAGCAGGCAGCGTAAGAGGTATATGAGGAGTAAAGACATGCATACACGTCAGCAGGCAGCGAGAGAGGTATATGAGGAGTAAAGACATGCATACACGTCAACGCAGCAGGCAGCGTAAGGGGCATATGAGGAGTAAAGACATGCATACACGTCAGCGCATCAGGCAGCGAAAGGGTATATGAAGAGTAAAGACATGCATATACGTCAGCGCATCAGGCAGCGAAAGGGGTATATGAAGAGTAAAGACATGCATACACGTCAGCCCGGCAGGCAGCGAAAGGGGTATATGAGGAGTAAAGACATGCATATACCTCAGCGCAGCAGGAAGCGAAAGGGGTATATGAGGTGTAGGTTTAAGAGTCAATCATAATTGGCAGTGGTAGTCATTCAGCAAAACGAATCTAAATCTCACCAACAAAGAAAAATATATAACTACCTTCATTGTTCAGCACATTCTTGTACTATCGTGTACAAATGGGATGAAACTGAACAGTCGTAATTTGTTCAAGTACAATGCAGAATACTAGCCCAAAAATTGATGAAGTAAAATTTTAATTTTACCTCTGATGATAGTAAGATTTTTAACTTGAGATGAATCATTTCCCAGTCTATTCTTTGCTTCACAACGATATGAACCAGCGTTATTGAAGTTGACAGATTGAATAATGTATGTCTTATTATTGCTGATAACTGCACCATTATGATAAATAGTGTAGGTTGGTTCAGGATAACCATCTGATTCACAGGTTATTGTCACATTTTGACCTTTTTTTACTGACATTGGACTGATGGTAATATTGGTTTGTTGTGGTGGATCTGTATAGAATAAAATTAAATTCAATATTCTACACAAACGTTTATAATGAGATCTGAAATGCTGTCTTACAAACTTACAAGCAGCTTTCACTGTTACTTCAATAGATTTTTCATCTCTAAAACGTGGATCATTATAACTCTGTGCTTTACATGTGTAATTTCCACCATCATTTACTGTAACATTAGTGATTACTAATGTCTTATTTACAACTCCAACATCACCAATTATGTTGTTATGTTTATCAAACCATGTGACATTAGCAGGAGGGATACCTCCTTCACCTCTACATACACATGACACATTATCACCTTCATCCACAACCAGAGGAGTTGAACAATTAATTACCACTGTAGGTTTCACTGAAATTAAAACAGAAAATATTCCTTTCTTAAATTAGTTATGAAAAGAAAATTAATAATGAGAGTATTCGTTAGTGTTAGGTGCATTTTCTTAGGAGTGTTGGATCGATGCCCTAACCAGTCACAAGCCAGCACGAAGCCCGCTTATCAGTCGCTAAAGTCCAGATTAGTGGAAATTTTCCACTAAACTGCTATCCAATGAGATTTTGGACTAAGCCGCTGCATTATTAACCAATTTGCTTAATAAAAATTTCATTTGTAAAAGACTTTGATGTTGGAAAAGAACAACAAAATAACAATAATCACTCAAATTTCAAGATGCATATTAATGATAAATTTTTAAATTTTGAAAATCAATCGCGTGACCGACTAGACATAAAAAATATTGACTTATTATGAAGCGTAAACAAATATTGTTGGTCTTCGAAGAACTACAAACAAATCATAGCCGTTTAAGTCTCTTGATAACCTATTTAATGAAGATATGCAATAGGAAAGTTAACAGCTAGGTGACGACAGTTGCATACGTCAGCGCAGCAGGCAGCGAAAGTGGCATATGAGGAGTAAAGACATGCATATACCTCAGCGCAGCAGGAAGCGAAAGTGGCATATGAGGAGTAAAGACATGCATACACGTCAGCGCAGCAGGCAGCGAAAGTGGCATATGAGGAGTAAAGACATGCATATACCTCAGCGCAGCAGGAAGCGAAAGTGGCATATGAGGAGTAAAGACATGCATACGTCAGCGCAGCAGGCAGCGAAAGGGGCATATGAGGAGTAAAGACATGCATACACGTCAGCGCATCAGGCAGCGAAAGGTATATGAGGAGTAAAGATACGTCAGCGCAGCAGGAAGCGAAAGTGGCATATGAGGTAAAGACATGCATACCTCAGCGCAGCAGGAAGCGAAAGTGGCATATGAGGAGTAAAGACATGCATACGGCAGCGCATCAGGCAGCGAAAGGAGTATAAGAGATGCATATATCAGCGCAGCAGGAAGCGAAAGTGGCATATGAGGAGTAAAGACATGAATACCTCAGCGCAGCAGGAAAGTGGCATATGAGGAGTAAAGACATGTACATCGTCAGCCGGGGCAGCGAAAGGGTATATGAGGTGTAAAGACATACACACGTCAGCGCAGCAGGCAGCGAAAGAGGTATATGAGGAGTAAAGACATACATACGTCAGCCGGCAGGCAGCGAAAGAGGTATATGAGGAGTAAAGATGCATACACATCAACGCAGCAGGCAGCGTAAGGGCATATGAGGAGTAAAGATGCATACACGTCAGCGCATCAGGCAGCGAAAGGTATATGAAGAGTAAAGACATGTATACATCGTCAGCCCGGCAGGTAGCGAAAGGTATATGAGGAAGATTACGCAAGTCAGCCCGGCAGGCAGCGAAAGGGGTATATGAGGTGTAAAGACATGCATACACGTCAGCGCAGCAGCAGCGAAAGAGGATATAAAGATAAGCATACATCGTCAGCCCGGCAGGCAGCGAAAGAGGTATATGAGGAGTAAAGACATGCATGCACGTCAACGCAGCAGGCAGCGTAAGGGGCATATGAGGAGTAAAGACATGCATACACGTCAGCGCATCAGGCAGCGAAAGGGGTATATAAATAGTAAAGACATGCATACACGTCAGCCCGGCAGGAAGCGAAAGTGGCATATGAGGAGCAAACATACACGCAGCAAAATAACGTCAACGCAGCGCAAGCGAGGAAGTCGCATATGAGGAGTAAAGACATGCATACACGTCAGCGCATCAGGCAGCGAAAGGGTATATGAAGAGTAAAGACATACACGTCAGCCCGGCAGGCAGCGAAAGGGGTATATGAGGAGTAAAGACATGCATACAAGTCAGCCCGGCAAGCAGCGAAAGGGTATATGAGGTGTAAAGACATGCATACACGTCAGCCCGGCAGGCAGCGAAAGAGGTATATGAGGAGTAAAGACATGCATACACGTCAACGCAGCAGGCCGCGTAAGGGGCATATGAGGAGTAAAGACATGCATACACGTCAGCGCATCAGGCAGCGAAAGGGGTATATGAAGAGTAAAGACATGCATACACGTCAGCCCGGCAGGCAGCGAAAGGGGTATATGAGGTGTAGGCTTAAGAGTCAATCATAATTGGCAGTGGTAGTCATTCAGCACAACCAATCTAAATCGCGCCAACAAAGAAAAATATATAACTATCTTCATTGTTCAGCACAATCTTGTACTATCGTGTACAAATGGGATGAAACTGAACAGTCGTAATTTGTTCAAGTACAATGCAGAATACTAGCCCAAAAATTGATGAAGTAAAATTTTAATTTTACCTCTGATGATAGTAAGATTTTTAACTTGAGATGAATCATTTCCCAGTCTATTCTTTGCTTCACAACGATATGAACCAGCGTTATTGAAGTTGACAGATTGAATAATGTATGTCTTATTATTGCTGATAACTGCACCATTATGATAAATAGTGTAGGTTGGTTCAGGATAACCATCTGATTCACAGGTTATTGTCACATTTTGACCTTTTTTTACTGACATTGGACTGATGGTAATATTGGTTTGTTGTGGTGGATCTGTATAGAATAAAATTAAATTCAATATTCTACACAAACGTTTATAATGAGATCTGAAATGCTGTCTTACAAACTTACAAGCAGCTTTCACTGTCACTTCAACAGATTTTTCATCTTTAAAACGTGGATCATTATAACTTTGTGCTTTACATGTGTAATTTCCACCATCATTTAATGTAACATTAGTGATTACTAATGTCTTACTTACAACTCCAACATCACCAATTATGTTGTTATCTTTATTAAACCATGTGACATTAGCAGGAGGGATACCTCCTTCACCTTTACATACACATGATACATTATCACCTTCATTGACAACCAGAGGTGTTGAACAATTAATTACCACTGTAGGTTTCACTGAAATTAAAACAGAAAATATTCCTTTCTTAAATTAGTTATGAAAAGAAAATTAATAATGACGGTATTCGTTAGTGTTAGGTGCATTTTCTTAGGAGTGTTGGATCGATGCCCTAACCAGTCACAAGCCAGCACGAAGCCCGCTTATCAGTAGCTAAAGTCCAAATTAGTGGAAATCTTCCACTAAACTGATATCAATGAGATTTTTGGATTAAACCGCTGCATTATTAACCAATTTGCTTAGTAAAATTTCATTTGTAAAAAAGACTTTGATGTTGCAAAAGAACAACAAAATAACAATAATCACTCAAATTTCAAGATGCATATTAATAATAAATTTTGAAATTTTGAAAGACCATCGCGTGACCGACTAGACATAAAAAGTTTGACTTATTATGAAGCCTAAACAACTATCATTGGTCTTCGAAGAACTATTGGTCTAAGGCTCTTGATAACCTATTTAATGAGGATATGCAATAGGCAAAGTTAACAGCTAGGTGACGACAGATGCATACGTCAGCGCAGCAGGTAGGAAAAGGGGTATATGAGGCGTAGGCTTACGAGTCAATCATAATTGGCAGTGGTAGTCTTTTAGCACAACGAATCTAAATCTCTATTAATCTCTACAAAGAAAAATATATTACTATCTTCAATTGTTCAGCACAAACTTGTACGATCGTGTACAAATGGGATGAAACTGAACAGTCGTAATTTGTTCATGTACAATGCAGAATACTAGCCCAGAAATTGATGAAGTAAAATTGTAATTCTACCTCTGATGATAGTAAGATTTTTAACATCAGATAAATCATTTCCCAGTTTATTCTTTGCTTCACAACGATATGAACCAGCGTTATTGAAGTTGACAGATTGAATGATGTATGTCTTATTATTACTGATAACTGCACCATTATGATAAATAGTGTAGGTTGGTTCAGGATAACCATCTGATTCACAGGTTATTGTCACATTTTGACCTTTTCTAACTGATATCGGACTGATGGTGATATTGGTTTGTTGTGGGGATCTGTATAGAATTAACAAAATTCAATATTCTGTAAACATTTATAATGAGATTTGAAATGACGCCTCGCAAACTTACATATAGGTGTCACTGTTATTTCAATGGATTTCTCATCTCTAAACCTTGGATCATTAAAACTTTGTGCTTTACATGTGTAATTTCCACCATCATTCACTGTAGCATTAGTGATTACTAATGTCTTATTTACAACTCCAACATCACCAATTATGTTGTTATTTTTATTAAACCATGTGACATTAGCAGGAGGGTTACCTCCTTCACCTCTACATACACATGACACATTATCACCTTCATCCACAAACAGAGGATTCGAACAACTAATTGTAACATTTGGTTTTACTAAAAGAAGAGAAGACAAATTGAAGACATCGTTTTACATAACACTATCTAACAACAATACAGTCAGTTAAGAATCAAGTTTGTTAAAAACATTTTCATCCTCGAGATTTTACCAAAAAATTACCTGCAGGGTAATGAACATTCATGAATTTTTAGTAACAATGAACTAAGGGGATTTTTATATGAGCCCGGCTAACCAGGATTCAGTGAGGCGTTAAATGATTTCGAGTCATTAAAAGGAGGCAAAACTTTAAGCTTATAAGTAATTTTTATAAAAATTACAATTGCCCTTAAAGCGCAAAAAGTCACTCTTTAACATTCTCTAATTAGGCCGAACTGGTTGTTCAAATTTTAAATGTTTTGCGTAGTTATTAAATCAGAATATTGCGAAATTGCTCGAGAAGATTTATCTGACGACAAGTATTGAATCGTTTCCATTTGCCAGAATCATTCAAGGCCTCATTGAATCACAGTTAGCCGGGCTCATATGAACAGCCCTAAACCCAGCAAAATGTAATTTGAATTTAAATTGCAGTTCCTTTTTCTTATAAATTATTTAAACTAACGTAGCTGAAAAATTTAACTGTGTAATTCTGTCTTTTGACTGCAAAAAATGTTTTCTGGAAGACATTGTTCTCTTTCTTTTCTTTATCAACTTTGTAGTTATGAAATGTAAAACTAAAAAAATTCATCACAATACACTCACCGTGTCTAAGTTATTTTGTGAAATATGGAGGTTATGTCTAAGAAGGTAACTCTCGTCCTTTTTTACTGATGATATCATTAGGCTATTAAAAGGCCAAACATGTTTACTTTCAAAAAAATTGTCGTGCATTTAAAATGATCGATATAAATCATATTGTAATTATATTAAATATTCAAATACCAATTACTAAAATTGATAAAATATGAAATAATAAAAACAGGAATGACTTACTTGCAACGAAAACTCTGACTTTAGATATAAAAGGAGATAACGCACTGTCCTTTCTTGCTAATTGAAACTCATACGTTCCATCATAACTATGAGTGATATTTCTTAATTGCAGCGTTGAAGGTTTGTAGACGTCATAATTTGGAAGAATTTGTGAACTGGACTTGAATACATTAAAGTTCTCAAAGACAATGGCCAATCGCGTTTGTGATGAACCATCATTACTACCAGTAAAATACCAATTTCTAATGTCCAAATCACTTTCACTATCATTAAATGTCCACGTTATACTGTGTGTTTCTCCAGGTAGAAATGTAAAATTTGTGCCAGGGGGAGGTGATTGAATTATTCCTATGACAAGAAATGAAAGATAAATGTATAAAATCTAATAACGTTTAATTCATTTTAATTCATTAAATATCAATTATTAAATAAAAACAGTAGCAAAGGATAGATAACAGAAACATATAAAACAAAATTAACATATAGAACAAGGCTCGGACTAACTCCAATTTAAGGGAATTGCCATTTCAACCCTAGGTGACCCCTGGAGGTCTGTTACGCGAAATTTTCTTATTTTTATTACGTAAATGATTAATTTAATTTTCAATACTCCTAATAAAAATTGTGGCATTTTTCATTTTGTTGATGAAAATTTACTTATTTATTTTAACTATTTTTAGGAGGGTCCAAATCATCTGAAACACTGTACACAGAGATGTTTAATCACTGAACTAATGTTGGATGAAAATTACACAAGAAATGAAGACAGTGGATAAAGATACAGTTGACACAATATCAAGTACTACCATGAATAAAATACACAGTAGACGGAGTGAAGATGAACATTACTTCAACCAGATATGAAAAGACAGCAGTCACTTTCCAACTATGATGCATATGAGAGAAATTATGAACACCCTACAGTCTCTGGGTTTCCAAAAAAATTGTGTAATTGATAACTAAATTTTTTTTGGTTAAAATTGAGCTGTACAAACTAGTGTGACAGCATCAAGACCAAATGTGATCTTTTACTTACATGTCGACTTGTTGGTATGAGAACAATAGATAAATAATAACAGACATATAAATATTCAATAATTTATAATTTAGATTTGCACTTCAGCCACATAGAGCTGCATATTTTATAATGATGAAACACATTTGGCTTTATTGTACAAGAACAAGTGCTATCACTTTTTACCACAAAAGATTCTGTTGTCGAATCATCAATGAGATATTCTTACTTCTTTGCTCAATAATCATTACATGCATGTATTTATAAGGTAAAGAACATTCTTTGTCTTCTAAAATACTGCCAGGTATTGCTTTTAAATTATTTCATTCAATGCAGAACTGGTTATGGTCATTGTACACATACTGAAGAATTAAGTGAGTATTTTAGTCAATATATCTTAAATTTCTAAGCAAATTCCACAGTTTTATTTGACAAAAATAAACATTAACTTCCTTAATGATCTAATAAAAATAATAAATACCTTGACAAGATGAAATCCAACAGAACAAAACAAATGAAAGGAAGCCAAACTTTTCCATCTTGTATTCAGTCTGTAAAGGTAAAGGTGAAGATGCAACTTAAATAAAATCACAGAACTACTACATAAATATATGATGTATTCCTTCATATTTTATGTATATTTTTGATTTCCTATAACCATTAATATTGAAGAAAACAAGAGCATCAGTAAAACTTCCTAAATTTTCGATAAAAAACATCCTCTGTTGTTGCCAGAAAACAAGATTTTTGTTTTGTACTTTTGGAAGTACTAAAGAACTTTCCACTATGATACATCTCAGACAACTCTTAATTCCACAGGAAATGCCGTGAAATGTCAATAAAATTATTTACAAATAATCTTGTCCAACAATATTTGTTAACATTTTAAATGATTCACTTTACCTTAAACAATACTGAAGTAGCTAAGCTGGTGAAAAATCTTCACGTATTTCTTAAATAAACCGGCTAATTTTCCTTATTTCACATAATTTACGCATCTCATGTTGTGCAAATATTTATATAAGTAATGAAAAGAATTTAAACGCCGTGACAACGCTGTCATATGTAACAGAGCGATCATATTTTATCAAAACCTTTCTCATGACAAGCCACACAAATTGCCCAGAGTTGTTTTAAAAAAAGAATACCAGCCACACAATCTTTATTCTGTAATTTTATCCTTACATATGACTTAATGGTGCTTTTAGATGAATGTATAAATTGTGAAAGCATACTTCGACACGCTGTGCCAATATCCATTTTTTAGTTGATTACAATGCTCTTGAAGACGATGAGCATCCACAAGTGGATTTGGTAAGAAAATCATTGTGAAAAATAACATCTGTATAAATCGCTTTTGCTGAAATATTCTTAGTAATTTTCACAATTTTAATGCACAATTTAAAATTTCTTATACTTTGTCTACAAAGAATTCCAGTTAGGAGGGGGGGGACTTTGGAATCGCCAGGGGCCCTGGGAAAGCTTGATCCACCCCCCTGCTTACCCTATCTATCTTACCAATGATCTTATCCTGCAGTTTTAGCTGAAAATACCAAACGTGGCTAGATTGAGAATGTTCTTGACGAGTCCCAGGGGGCATGCATCACTGATAAATTTTTGATTTCGTAAAACAGTGAATCAAATGACAAATAACCAAGTTGTCCTTTAACTTTTACCATTTCAACCTAAGCGACTTCAATTCAGATGGTTGGACTGCAAACTTCTGTTTAGCAAAGGACTGTACATGGATGACGTCAGACGACTTTGCTCTTTTTAATCGGGTATATTAGAATTTAAAATTGTTTAAAAAAGAGCAAATACCATGGTGAATGGTTAAAATAATAACGTAATAGTTCTTAAAAGATGTGTTTAAAACCAGAACACTAAACTCAACAAGTCACCAAAACAAATTCAGAAATTAAAAGTACTACAGTATTGTTCTATAATTTCTTTTAATCGTTGTATTTACATTGTTTTACCATTAGCTTAGAATCTTAAATGAAAGAAAATTTTACAAAATTTGGGGACAATATAGAATTGCAAATCCGGTTTAAAATAAAGCGTCAATACAGATCGGATTAAAATTTCATGCAACGCTACCAAGCTGAACTTACTTTGCTTTGATTTACGACAGCAGAAAATGACAACAACTATAATGGCGACAAGGAAAACCGCTCCAACAGCAATACCAACAATCAGAGCAATATTTGGTCCATCATCATCATCATCTTTAACTGTAGAATTATTGTTACCATTATCTTTGCTTGTAGAAGTATTTTGGCTAACTTAAATAAAGAGTTGTGAACTTTGATAAATTTTATCAAACAGTCTTCTTGACGACCCACCAAATTCAAACATTAATCAATAGCTTTTAAATAGGTCTAGCAAATAGTTTGAAATAGCCAGAATGAAACAATGCGATATGCAAAAAAATAAAATTCACAATACACACTAAAGTTAGTGTCAGGTCATACGTAAATTGATAAATTAATAAAAAGTTTAAAACAAATGGTGAGACACGCTCTCCATAAATGATGTTCCACATAAAAGAATTAAAGAAAAACGTTAAAAAGTTACCGTTGTTAGTGGGAGTTGAACTAATTGATGACGTCAAGGTAAACGTCATCAATGACGTAATTATCGACGATGATAGACTGAATGAGCTTAATATAGGAGCTAGCACAATTACAAAATTGTTCAAATGAGAATGATTCCAATATTGAAATTCCTTCAATATTGAAATGCGTGCCACCAAATCATGAAAATTTGCTAGTTTGAAATTCCAGTCATTCAAGCAATTCACGCCAAGTAATCTATTTACAATTAATGAACTCTAGGCAATTTACGTTTATAAACACTTTAATGATTATACTGGGAAATACAGATAAGTTAAACATATTTTTACTGATAGTCATTGAAGAATATATATACATAGAAAAAAATGTTATGGTTAATGCAGCATGCAGACATTGCCAGTCTTTGCTTTACCACACGAGCCAGTAAAAAGTTATGTAATCAGAGCAATCTTCGTTGTTTACTGAAATTTTATTGTTATAATGGTATTCAAGCGCATTCAAGAAGTCTAATGCTAATTACAAAAGATAAACATCGGTCTTTCACCTTTGCTACCAAGAAAGTTCGTACATAATGCAAAATAAAAGTCCAACAAGTGATAAGCTGAGGTTCTTAATTTTACCTTCGTTAACAACAGTGAGAGGTTGAAACTGAGAAAAATCATTCCCCAGTTTATTCTTTGCTTCACAACGATATGAACCATTGTGATTGAAGTTGACAGATTGAATGATGTATGTCTTATTATAACTGACAATACGTATACTACCAGCATCTTTATGATGAATAATGAAGGTTGGCGGAGGAAACCATCTGATTCGCAGGTTTTATTCACACTTTCACCAATTTTTGATAGGGATATGTTCGTACTTCTTGGTTTATCTAAAATTTAAAATTGAAAATTCTACGTATTTCACAATTTGAAAACCTTATTGCAAAAGTACTAAATATATAAGTTCGCAACTTACAATTCACTATTATTTCAATGGATTTTTCGTCAATGAAACGTGGATCATTAAAACTTTCAGCTTTACATTTGTAACTTCCACGATCCTTTGGTGAGGCACCAGTGATTACTAAAGTCGCACTTTCAACTCCAAATCTACCAACTGTTGTGCTATCTTTATCAAACCATGTGACTTTAGCAGGAGGGTTACCTCCTTCACCTCTACATACACATGACACACCATCACTTTCATTCACAAACAGAGGAGATGAACAGTTAATCGACACGTTTGGTTTGACTGAAATTAAAGACAGAATCATAATAATAGTCATGATAGAAACAATAGGGTATTTATTTGTAAGCGTCAGTGAGACAGGGGTAAAAACCGGAAGAGGAATGTCGCATCTGTAAAGAATAAAATTTATTGTTGTATGTGCTGTGTATGTCAAACTTGATTTGAAAATAGTACTGTAAACTAATTTCTTACAGAATGAAGAAATATACCTACTTTCTTTGCTTAAAAAGACATCGTAGTCGCGACTACGAATTTTTACAAAACATCGTACTCAGATTGATGACGGCTACGTGTTTTTGTTGTCGCAACAATGTTTTCGCGCCAAAATGACGTAAATGGTACTCGTAGTCGTACTCGTAGTCTTTGCTAAAGCTCCCTATTATCGCAAAATTTCATTTGACTGCTCTCCTTTGAGTTAACATTAAACATGTTTTATACATTTGTGATTAGGTAGTTCATATTTTTAAAATTCAACTCTCCTCCATTTTCCAGTAGGCTTCATGACATTATCGCAAAATTTCATTTGACTGCTCTCCTTATCTGAGTGGCTAATACACAATTTAATCCATACTTTTAGAATCGACCATAACATGGGCCACATGACAGCCCAAACAACCGCTAAAACTTAAAACAATAGCATGAAGCAGGGCTGAAGGTATATGGAATTATGGAAAAAACCAGTGAACTGGTTTATGAAAACCAATCAAAGAAAATTTGCAAATCAATCATAAACACATGTTAGTGGAAAAATTAAAACGGTTGTCTTATCGAATTATTGATAATTCATAAAAAAAATAAAAGATGTTTTTTCGTGTTTGCATTGGCTTATGTAAACTTCGGAGACGTTTGAAAAAAGGTTTCCTCGGTTTCCATAAGCCTGTGCAAACAAGGTAAACATCTTTTATTTCTCAAATATCTTATAACTCCATAACTTACATTTCACTTGTATATCAATGGATTTTTCATCTCTAAAACGTGAATCATTATAACTTTCTTTATAACTTTCTGCTATACATTTGTAATTTCCACCATCATTCAATGTAACATTGGTCAATACCAATTCCTTACTCTCTTCTCCAGTACCATTAACTGCTGTGTTATTTTTATCAAACCATGTGACAATAGCAGGAGGGTTACCTCCTACACCTCTACATACACATGACACATTATCACCTTTACTCACAACCAGAGGTGTTGAACATTCAATTATCACGTTTGGTTTAGCTGAAAACAAAAACAGAAAATTTTCACTAATTATAATAAAGAAAATGGACGCTAAAACACTCTTCTTCTAAACATAACGAAAAAATAAAGGTTTAGGAATTTTTCTTAAATTACAAGGATTTAATAAACTTCCAACTAATAGCTGAAAATGTTTCTGTCACAATTAATGCAACGCTAGTTAAACAATAAGAAGTCCTGCGTTTTTGTTGCCAATTTTGTGATAAGCATTGCGCTGACACATACTATTTAGCATAATAAACCTGCTCCAGGAAAGAATTGCATCTACTTTGAAGTAGCAATCCAAAGATACTGCAAAACTTCAAACATCTTCAGTTTTTTTAACTTGCAGTTTGAGTTAACATTAAACATGTTTTATACATTTGTGATTAGGTAGTTCATATTTTTTTAAAATTCAACTCTCCTCCATTTTCCCGTAGGCTTCATGACATTATCGCAAAATTTCATTTGACTGCTCTCCTTATCTGAGTGGCTAATACACAATTTAATCCATACTTTTAGAATCGACCATAACATGGGCCACATGACGGCCCAAACAACCGCTAGAACTTAAAACAATAGCATGAAGCAGGGGCTGAAGGTATATGGAATTATGGAAAAAAACACCGGCACACGCCATGTCGTTAACCATTTAGGGTTGCACATCGTTTGAATATTTTTTAGTTCCCACAAACGATATACGCTGCACCCCCTGGTCTATTTTTATCTACAATTCTAAACCAAATGCTGTGGTGTTGCAGTGGCGGACTGACCTGTTCATGACTTACTAGGAAAACTCAGAAAGGAGTGCTTGTTTGTAGCAAGTAGCTATTTGTAGGGGAGAGGGGCTGAAGTGCATGTGCTGCTATATCGAGTATAAATTATTGACAGCTACTTGGCTATACCAAGTTAAGGCGAGAACTCAAATGAACTACATAACTAATAAAACGAAAAATAAGATTTTGAGGATTTTGTTCTTTGAGAATTGCATGATGTTCCCAGCACTAGGCTAGTCCATATCACTTGCTTGCACCATTGAACAAAATGTTTTAACGTAAAATACTATGCTAGAAGTAACAAAAAAGCTTTTAGGCTAACAAATTGTAAGCAATTTTAAATAGCGTAGACTACTCAAAAGCTGAATGTCAATAGAAGTTTACTAATACACGTTGATGCTTTTGCATTTTGCCATTGTAGCAATACTATCTTTATCCTGTTGTACTTTAATAGGCTTACCAGTGTTTTATTTACTATTTTCCGGAAAAAGGGCCAACGCAAAAGAGCATATGAATGCGTGGAGCCCCGGGAAACTTCCGGGTGTCTTAATAGGGCAGTCTGCCTCTGTGATTTTGTAATTCTTGGATTGCAAACTACCTCACAGTCGCCATGCTGGATAATTTTAACGAAGGACTTTCCTTATTTACAATGTAAATTTCATCCAACATGGCGAGCATTATTTTTCTCTTACTCCCAGGGGGATGGTTGTAACCCACCAATAAATACGTTCGGCAAACTGCTTATATATAGCTACATTACTTTATAAACCATGCTTTATGATAAAGGGGAGGAAACTCTGAACTTTCAAAGAACAGAAAATTAGTTATCCTGCTTTCTTTGTTTACTATAAAAATGGCCGTTGAGTTTGCAATTCAATTTTACAAAAGTGCTTACAAATAAAGAAAATAGATGTACACCGCACTTAACAACTGTTTAGATGAAACAGCTCTATTAATTTGACATATCTGAGTGCGGTTTGTCAAGTAAGATGTCAATAAAGATAAAGCATTTCCGTTTATGCCATACAGTTTAAATTTATTTAGTAAAATTTTACGATCAACAGTGTCGATAGCCTTTTAAGTCAATGAACACAGCAAGGTTGAATAATTTTGTCAATATTTATATACCAGCTATTGGTACAATCTAGTAAGGCTGTAGCTGTTGAATGATGCTTTCGGAAGCCAAATTGGGAGTCACGTAGTAAGTGAAATTTCGTTAAGTGATCATAAAGTTGCTCGTATAAAATCCTCTCCATAATTTTGCTGACTGCCGGTAAAACAGAAATCGCTCTGTAGTTGGTTGGCAAATTTTTGGCCGTTTTGAACAATGGAATAAGTCTAGCAATTTTCCAATTATTAGGAAAGTTACAAGATGTAATAGAATGGTGAAATACTAATGTCAATGAGTCAGCAATAATGGGCGCAGCTAATGGAAATTTTGTCAATACCAGTAGATTTTTTATAGGAGAGACTACATAACATTTGATAGTTTACTTTTGGTTACAGGTTGAAAATTTGAAAATTCCGATTTGGGATTTTTCATAAACTCTTGAAAGTTACAATTTAATGAGTTAAGTTTTTCAGTCAATTCAGACCCAATTTTTGAAAAATATAGATTGAAACCCTCAGCAATATCCTCGGAGTTTGTCAGATTGATGCCATCTATACTTAACTCATTGACATTGCCCCGTCTGTTTTGACTGCCGAATAGATGGTTGATTGTTTTCCAAGTCTCTTTTGGTTTGTTCTTTAGACCAGCAATTGTCCTTGCATAATAATTTTGTTTAGCTTTTCTCACTTCTATGTTGTTCACTTTATCCCTTAGTTGCTTAAGCATATTCCAATCAGTTTTATTCTTGTTTATGATGGCTTTTCTCTTGAATGCATTTCTGTCAATAATAAGTTGTATAATGTACCTTGTAACCCAAGGTACATTGATTTTCTTATGTTGTATAGGAGCATGTTTATTAAGTACTTCATTAAATAGCGTTTTCCATAAATTCCACATGTCGTTGGGATTATCAGCAAAATAAAATATGTGCTCCAAATGCTGATAAGTTAAATCTTCAATAAATTTTTCACTATTGAAATTTTTCATGTTTCTAATTTCAACTGTATTCTCATTTTGTTTTTTTTGAAAAGTTAATTTTCCTAACCGCAAATATCATGTTATGGTCAGAAATTCCATTATGTATGACGCCAGAATGGGAAATATTGTCTGGGCTATTAGTTATTACATGATCAATACGAGGTTGACAGTGTTACTCGCGTGGACAATTAATGAGTTGAGAGAGTTGATACAATTCATATAGAGATATAATTTTCTTTGTTGGTGTAACAGGTTCATGTTTAAGCATGTCGCAGTTAAGATCACCAAGAATATATAATTCTTTATGTTGATCGTCAAATTGTTTGATTAATTTTTCAAAATGCAAAAAGAAATCATTAGGAGAGTAAGGTGGCGATAAATAGCACTACCAAAAATTGGTCTCCCAATTTGTTCAAGTGGAGATTGGAGCCATTAAAGTGATTTTGCCAATATTTTCGTTATTTATAAAAGAAACATTATGTTTAGAGCATAATTTGTAGATGAGAGAATTATAAAAGCCATTTTATTTAAGGAAACCTTGCCATCAAATCTTTTACAACACTTGAAATTCCCACTTTACCTGCTAACTTCTTCGAACTTACAATCAAGGTTTCTAAACCTGTGGCAACTTCATCAGCACTACTATTGACAAGATCATTAGTACCAACATGAATAATAATAGTACCATATTTATTTTGGGGATCTCCAGGACATTTAACTGGATGTCCTTTTTTTGCACCACTGAAGGAGTGGCAGGTAGATTTCCTCTCGCTGCCCAGGAGATCTTTTTGGATCTATATGTTTCAACATTGAGTCACCAATGATAAGAGTTGACGCAGCTAAATAGTTATGGGTTTTGGACAGTTATATTTTGGTCGTCGTTAGGAGTGTCAATTTTAATTTGGTGAACTTTTTCTTCTGTTTATTGTGGTAAGCATTCAGTTGAGATTGAGTTTTTTGTCAGTTTGCTCGTTGTCTTCATTAGGATTGCCAATTTTAATTTGAAAACTTTTCCTTTGCTTACAGCGGTAAGCATTCAGTTGGGACTGAGTTGACTGAGTGAGGCATACTTCCATTGACGTGTGCTAACTGTCGGAGCTACGTGATTTTCCTTGAGGGATTTATTGTGGAGATTTCCAAATCTATTTACTAGAGGAAGAGGATTAAATGTTGGTTTTGTTGATGGTCTTGGTTTGATTCCTACGATTGACATCTATCCAAGCATTTTGATTGTTATCAAGGAGAGACAAGATTCGATTGTTGTCTTCTCTTAGCATGCTAATAGAAAATTTCAAATGGTCAATCTCGGCTGCCATTTTCGCGTTGTCGACTAGAAGGACGGCTTTTTTGTTATCATCGTTTTTCGATTTTTCTTCTAAAATACGTAGACGAGTGAGGATTTGGTCGAGTTTACTTGCATTATCGTCTATGTCTAACTTTTCTGAAACAATTTTGTCTGTGCTGGGTAACGTTAAAACAAATGTCTCGACATTAACAACGCGCGCGCAAAATTTTGGTTCTTTATCATTAGGTTCGGTGCACGTTTCATTTTCTTTAGTCTTGTTTCCGTTATCTTTGGCAGATCTTTCTGGTGGAATATCTTTTTTTTTGGTTTTATCTGTTTTGGGCAATTTCAGAATCAAGCTTTTAAAATCAGCATCTGTAAGCGTGGATAGACTGTTCTTTGTTCGGCGAGACATAATAGTGATATTACCAGTTGATCAATTGATATCAAATTTTATAACACTAAAGTCGAAAGTGGTATCAAAACGTCGAAAGTCATATCAATAACTAATTTTGTCCTATACTCAAATGTAGTAAAATCTGTGATACAAGCACTTTAACATAGATTATTCAAATCAAAAGATACCTTATAATTTTCTTTTAAATTAAAACAAAACAAAACAAGTCTTCGCATTTGTCTTCGCTCAACGGCTCAAGTATTTAGCTATAGGATTCCAGACTGCGGTCATATATCGTATAATTACGCCCGATGCTACAGCTACTCAGATTACATGAAAGGCTTGGATAACCCCGCTGCTAAGTTTAAAATAATAAATACAACTTACTTGCAATAGACACGTTTACAAATGAGTCAATAGGATCGGGAGTTAAGTAAATTTATAAACACCAATGTAACTTTGAGTAATATTCTTTAACATTAGAGTTGCAGGTTTAAAACTTCAACATCTAAACCAAATGACTTAAGGACTGATGTATCATATTTGGGTCTCCATTATTGCCACTTATTGTTACAATTGCATGAGTTGCAGAAGCATTGTCAAATGTCCTAAAGATCCAACTCCGAAAAAGAAAGTTTGCAACGACACAATAACAGTTATAAACGTTTCTTCGGCAAAATATTCAGGCCAAATTTCCCCCATTAAATACTTAGAACAATGCATACAATACAAGAAAGATTGAAATAATTAAAACTTACCAGCAATATAAACATTTATTTTGATGAACTAGTAGTAGAAGTGAAAATACTAAATGTAAATTCACCATTGTAACTTTGATTTACATTCTTTAGCCACAAAGTTCCAGGTTTAAAAACTTCAAATGTTAAAGGTGATGCTGAATATCGGGTATGTCACTATTAATAGAATTGCTGCAATTTGTTGAGAGGAAGATGAACCACGAGGTGTAAAACTCCAAACCCATGCATTAATGTTTCCATAACATTTAATGTCCAAGTTATATTGTGAGAAGATCCAGGTAAAAATACAAATCTTTGACCATCAGGTGGAGATATTATTCTTCCTGAAATTAAAATTTAGCTGATATCTATGACTGATAAAAAGATAGTTTAGGGAAAAATACATCTTCTACTAACATAACAAAAGTAATTGATTTTCTTAATTCAGGTTCTATTCAAAAATTGTGAATGAAAAAATAAACTAATTAAATATTACTAATACAACAACTAAAAATACATCAAAAATCATTTAAGTAAAAAAGAAATGGTTATTTGAAGTTAAATACCTTTGGCAAGACCAAGAAATGTGATCAATGTAACAGTCAAAAATACTAAATTTGTCTTTACCATTTTTACTAAAAAATTAAATGATGAATTTTAATGCTTATAATCTTTGAAAATAAAATTATGAGTCAACATTGTTAGTGCTGTGAAAATTCCGGTTTTTCAGCTGCGGCTTGTCATTTCTGAACTGGTAAAAATAGCCGGCGCTGCGGCCCATCTCCAGTACACAGAACTAAACATGGTGCATCAAAATAAATAGTAATTTCTACTCGTAAATGGGCAATATTTGCGTAGCAATATGTTCCATTAATTCTACCACAGAAATATCTTTATCATTGCAATAAATTTTTTGTGTTTTAATTTGCTTTATAAAATAAAAACAGTAAAACATGTGCGCTGATTGGTCAAAGGCTGAGTTTGCATTAGCCTGGGTAAATCGATCATAGCTCAACCTCAATCAATTAAAGAGATTTTGCAAACCGTTCATTAATGCACTTTTTTGAAAATTAAAATGCAAACCTTCAAAATCTTATGCAAACCTTGGAGATCTTTGTGAGAATACTCAAGCAGTTGCAAAACCTGCTTTGCAATGATCAGATCTTAAGTTCTCCAAAGGTCTCCTCAGTTTGCATAAGCCTGTGCAAACATGGAAAACATTTTTTTTTCTTGACTTGATTGGGAAAGCATAAGATGAACATAAATATTGTTTCCTAAAGATTGTGAATCATTGGATACATTTACATCTCACATTACAATTATCATAGGTGACCAGTGACATATCTTTAGTTCTGCCATGCAAATTATTCATGAGTTCACTAGATGTAAAAACAATAGATTAAAAAAAAATGAACAATGACAATGATCTGAAATTGTGATTGTTAGGCCCATGCAGTGTGCGAATTAGCGGTGTGCAATGTGCAATTTGCACATCGTTTTAGCTAAAATGAAAACAATTGCACATCACTTTTTCAAACGACATGCTAAAAACTTCTATTCAAACGGTACACGAAAAACACTGTTGTGAATCATATGAATTTGTTCATGTTTAAAAATATTAATTTAGCAATTAGCACTATATAATAATTAATGTAATATCGATTTGATTATGCTTCTATTCAAACACTTTTGTCAAAAAAAATTGCACATCGTTTTAAAATGAATTTGAAACAATTATCAGAGATCTTACACTGAATTATGGATCTTTATAAATATGCCTCAAAGAAGCCAAAATGTTTCATTTGCAATCAAGTCTACAACATGCTGATGTTGCTGTCATTAATAGTAATACACAGGACCTGTCAATGGTAGAGTCACCCTATACAAAAAGATAGCCTTGCAAGTATGGTTACACTATTCCCATGTAAACAGGCCCTTATTAGTTTCGTAACTAAACAATACAACAGGAAGTACAGAAATATTTTCAAGAATCAAAGAAGAAATGAAACCCAACATACTCATTTAGTATTTAATGTAGTGTTTCGTCTTGGTCTTTTAAAATTATGAAATTCAAAATGCATCAAAATTCTTAAAAAGTTTTGTATAAAGCGACGTTAAGGTAAAGAAATCTTCATCAAAGCATATCAATACCAAAAGCTGTTGTATTTTAACGTATACACTTGTGTACCATATTATTGAAGGTTTTCTCGAATTCAGACTAAAGCCTGGGCCACACTATCGTCTATATTGACGAAAACGAAAACGAAACGAAAATTCGTGCACGAAATGCATGCCAGACACGACGAAAAATTACAAGCATGTTTGCAAAGCCAAAACGTTTTTGGCCAATAAGCAAGCGGCATTTTGACGGATTAGAAAAATGGCGATCTCTAAAAGAAAAAGATTACTTTTTCTTAAGAAAAAGTTACTGCTTTTAAAGTTGAAAACAAGCAACAGCAAACGTCGATACTGGATTCATCCAATTAATAAACGACGTGATCGTCTTGGACTATTTAACAACTTGATTAAAGAATTACGAGAGCCGAACAATGAAAATAGACACAAGGTTAAATAGTTGGAATGCTATTAAACAAAAGAATGATAGCACAGCGCTAGCAACTACAAACAATAACGACCTTATCAACAACATTTGAGAAATTAACCTTCCACTCTTCCTTGTAAACAGACAAGAGCAGAGAGTTTATGTTCGGACCGGTATAGCAGAGTTAAAGGTGAAAGGTTTATCATAGATAATCAACTGAATATTCTGCTCATTTTTGTTTGAAGCATGTTGAACAGTTCATATGGACAAAGCTCGAATTCCATATTAACATAATGTTAATGTTAGACAATACATCATTGCCCTTCAAAGCATCCCGCTTTCCACTGGAAAAGAATCTAATATCGATGTTAAACATAGATTGTTACAAGCATCCCGCTTGCCGATATGTATAAGTATAATCACTGATGCTTGTAAGAATCTATGTTTAACATCGATATTAGATTCTTTTCCAGTGGAAAGCGGGATGCTTTCACTGAAGGGCAATGATGTATTGTCTAACATTAACACCGGATTATGTTACTGATATTTAATATGGAATTCGAGCTTTGTCCATATGAACTGTTCAACATGCTTCCAAACAAAAATGAGCAGGAATATTCAGTTGATTAATCTATGATAAACCTTTCACCTTTTAACTCTGCTATACCGGTCACAAGCCCGGGACTTGTAGCGTATAAGGCTCTCTGCTTTTGAGTAGACTTGTCTCGTTTACAAGGAAGAGGAGTGGAAGGTTAATTTCTCAAATGTTGTTAGATAAGGTCGTTATTGTTTGTAGTTGTTGGTTATAGCGCTGTGCTATCATTCTTTTTGTGAAAATAGACACATAAAATACTTGCGAATGACGACGACAAATTTTGACTACATTTTGGATTTAATTAGACCTCACATCATTAAAGTTGGCACACATCTTAGAAAGTCTATTAGCCCTGATTTATCAAAACCTCTTGCCACTCCGCCATGTTTGAGTACAAAGTCTGATATTATTAGCAAATAGTATGCGTTTTCGTCAACGAAAAAGGTCAAAAGTTTAATTCTTCTAATATGCACGAAAACGAAATTTTCGTCGAGTTTCGTTCAAAATTTTCGTTGCGGCAGTTTTCGTTCTGATTTTCGTCGATATGGACGATAGTGTGGCCTAGGCTTAAAACTTATTTTCTTTCACAAACACAATTTTAGTATTGGCTAATTTTAGTTTGAACTAAGAATTCTCGATAAGAGATTCGTTTCAATAGCGCCTGTCGAATGCCATGAATATTTACGCCAAAACTTTACAGCAAAACAATATTTTCATTCAAGACAACAAGGACAAGTACGCTATTCCACTAAAAATACAGCAAAACGTAACATACCCATGTAATTTGGTTTTCTTCCGTGAGAATTTCAGAAAGACTCAATTTCCTGCTTCGCAACGTATGACGTACGTGAAGTTATGGCACGCCAAACAAAAGTGTATCGAGAATTCCAACCACTAGTCGAGAATCATAAGTGACATATGAGAAGAGCAAGCACGTGTTGAGAAAATCAACCATACGTCGAGATTTCTGACTGGCAAACTGGACAGCGGTTGCGAAACGTATATTATAAATACTTCGTGCCATGCATATAACATAACATGGTCTTCAGGAAACAATGGATGAAGAAAAACTACCGTGAAATTGGCACCACCTTGGGCACCACAATCAACACAACATTCATACAACATTCATCACCACATTCAACTAAAATTTATCATTCAAAATGATAAATCGAAAAATCGTCTTTAAAACACGTTTTCCATCAAATACAACAGTAAAAACAATTCTTAAATGTTTTTACTATTTTACTGTCCTTAACCATCACAAAGAAAGTATAAAAGTCAAGAAATTGAAGAAAACACTAAACTTTAGGTTACAGTGTACTTTTCATTTCCTTAATTAGCGTATAATTTAAAACTACACGGTAGAATTTTTTTAAACTTGGCCAGAATATAGATAATTATATTTTCTAAAATATATCAAAAATCTGGAGAGTGCACAAAAAAATAAGTTGTAGAAAATCATCGGCAAAGTCGGATTACAAGATTACGCGTAATATAATCTAATATAATTAACTTCCTATATCCAGGTAACTTTGCAAACAAAGGCCTATAAATAAAAAACCACACGGTAGAATTTTTTTAAACTCGGTCATATTGTAGATATTTTTATTGCCTAAAATATATCCAAAATATCGTAAAACAAGATTTTTTCGTTTTGTACTTTGCGGAAGTACTAACGTACTTTCCACTGTGATACTAAACGGGCAACTTCTTAATCCACAGAAAACTCAGTGAAATGTCAATGAAATTATTTACAAATGGACTAATCAGTCAATTTTGATAACATATTAAATGAACGGTGTGATACTTAACACATTTCTTGAATAAATCGGCTAATTTTACTCTTTTAAAATTATTTCCGGGTTCATGGTGTGCAAATATTTATTTCATTGTTCATCGTCAAAATTGTATAAAGGCCAGTTAGGCCAATGAAGTTCATTTTCGTATTCTCACTATTTTGTGTAACATTGCATAGTACATGTTGTCTTTATGATTAAAACCATAGATATTATATATAAATTATAAAACATAATGACCGAAGAAGGTTGTATAACCAGACTACTGAACCAGACCCGAATACAAAGGATGGGGTGCTACTTCTTGGTGTGCAAGTGCAACCGCCATGTTGCATGATTTTAATAAAGGATTTTTCTTATTTACCACACATAATTCATCCAACATGGCGAGCATTTCATTTTTCTCTTACTCCCATAGAATTGATGCACACCCACCTTATAGTAAAAAAAATATTTACAGCTGTTTCTTGGGTTGGGGATGCCCAGAAACACATCTAGCTAAGACAAGACGAGACGAAACTAGACTAGAACACTAATTGTGAGGGAGGGTGAATATTCATGTACTAAGCTCTTTCCTGCTACTTTCTTTTGTTGGCGATTTTAATTTCAAAAGATATCATGGGCCGGTTGCACGAAGCCTAGATAGCAATTTTTTCAAACTTTTATAAAACCTTTTAAAAAGCAAAAAAATATAAAATTCGAACTGAGCACTCACTGAAAAGTCTGAAATAAATATTGTTTCGAAGATTATAAAATTTCTTTGTCTTAAGTAAAATATAAACACCTTTTTTACAAATTTGAAAATTTTTGCTATCCAATGGATAGCGCTATCCAGGCTTTGTGCAACTGGCCCCAGCAGGGCAGTGCTGAATATATGAATATTCTCCTACCCTCACTTTATAAAAGAAAAAAACAATGGAATGTTTGCCTTTAGCCGATACTACAAGGTCAATATTAACACTAAGCTTCAAAGGATTGGACACAGCACTGGGGGAAGGCTTAGCCCACAACAGAATCTAACCAAAAGTTTTTGCCATTCTTTGCGAATGCTCCATTACTTAATAACTGCTGACTAAAATATCAAAGAAAAACATCTTTAGGCCTTTGAATGTAAATGTATTATAAAGTTAAAGTTATTGCTCTTGTTGTTTTAGCATTCAAATCGACAATGAAATATCAAAACGTTAACAATTTTATTGTTGCTCCCGAATGATGGAGGTTTTTTGTACGTCTGGAGCATTGCGATATTAGACACTTGGGATTCTCCACTACATTTGTTTATATTTCAAGTATTAAGACGTTAAATTTTTAAAGGTCCCCACATTTTGAGGCTCTCTTTGTGTTGTCGAACACCCCACTAGCACTGTATTAAAATGAGACCATATAAACTGTAAATAATTTTGTTACGATTGGCGCTCCATAGTAGATCACTAAAGGTGTTCTTAACTATCCAACTATGGTCATCTCTTAACTAGATGGGTCTCAAGGCATTCCCTAATCAAAGACAAATTTTGAAATTTACGATTTAGGTTCATCAGAAATAAGATTTTGTGATTTTTCAGGGCCTTTTCGTGATCCTTTTCTAAACAATTTGGTATACACAGGAAACAAGTCAGGAAGGCAGGTGTACAGTAAGATAAATAGAAAATACTTATTCAAAAACAGTATTACCATACACTGTTATCAAAAACAACTAATGAATGAGTCAGAATGACCAGTGTACTTTCCTATCAAAAATGGCTTCCTTCTGGAAATCATAAAGTACTAGCAGCTCAAAGGGAGGAAAACATGCAAAATTCAAATCTTATCAGAAAATGTAAATGTTCGTAAAAGCACCATTGTGACTTTACAACATGGAAAATGTTTATAAACACATGTTTAGAATAAATTTATGATTTTCTTCAAAACAAATTACTGTTCTCATAATTTCTTCTTTCGTCGGCTATCTCGTACTCCGATTCATTATTTTTTTGCCAAGATTCATAATTATTATCTTCTATATTCCTTTTCGATATGTCCAGTTCTTCATAAGTTGTATCAACTGTGTCATCCTTTGGTCTCAATGATTGATAATTATCTTCTTTATTATTCATTTTGATAAATCCAATTCTTGATAAGTATTATCAACAGAATTTTCCTAACTTCAGATGGACATTGAAATTGTTGACGTTTTTTATTAAACCAATGTTGACGATAACGCAAAAAAAATAAAATAGAGACGAAAATTCCAACGATAATTCCAGATGTTAAAGTTATTAAAATAAGATACCATTCTGTTTTGCACTGTTTTATTCTCTCATTTTGGTCATCACAAAGAACGTTGTCTAGAGAAGAAGCATAGAACTTAAAAATATGGAAAAAAATCAAAAGAGTTTATTTGTATAGAATACTAAAATACATATGATAACAAGATTGGATCATTTTGATTGAGCAATGGATAGATTGAATTGAACATTTCCATTAAGTCTAGGCAAAGGTCGAGATGTTAATTGCATTGTGTGGCTAGAGCTAAAGTTTGCTATAAAAGAGCGATTTGCTTAAATTTCTTTTAAGGATTTTTATCATCTCAGGTAGCGCATGCAAATTGAACAGAAAGAGCTAATAATATTTTAAACATAAAAATGATTTTATAGCATAGTAAATAAATTATCTTTTGTGTTGCAATCAGTAGATAAATATTTTGAAAGGAGAAATGATGTTGGAGATACGTATGTTAACAAATTTACTGGTTGGAATTCTAGCCCAAACTTAAATGAAAAATGCTAAAATAGCTACACAGAAATCAACTCAAATTATTGGTTTGTTGTGGTGGATCTGTAAAGAATAAAATTAAATTCAATATTTTACACAAACGTTTATAATGAGATCTGAAATGCTGTCTTACAAACTTACAAGTAGCTTTCACTGTTACTTCAATAGATTTTTCATCTGTAAAACGTGGATCATTATAACTTTGTGCTTTACATCTGTAAGTTCCACCATCATTCAATGTAACATTAGTAATTACTAATGTCTTACTTACAACTCCAACATCACCAATTATGTTGTTATTTTTATCAAACCATGTGACATTAGCAGGAGGGTTACCTCCTTCACCTCTACATACACATGACACATTATCACCTTCATTCACAACCAGAGGAGTTGAACAATTAATTACCACATCTGGTTTAACTGAAATTAAAAACAGAAAATATTCCTTTCTTAATTTAATTATGAAAAAGAAAATTAATAATGAGAGTAGTCGTTAGTGTTATGTGCATTTTCTTAGGAGTATTGGATCGATGCCCTAAGCAGTCACAAGCCAGCAGGAAGCCCGTTTATCACTCGCTAAAAGTCCAGATCAGTGGAAATATTCCACTAAACTGCTATCCAATGTGATTTTTTGCACTAAACCGCTGCATTATTAACCAATTTGCTTAATAAAAATTTCATTTGTAAAAAAGACTTTGATGCTGGAAAAGAACAACAACATAACAATAATCACACAACTTTCAAGATGCATATTAGTAATAAATTTTGAAACTTTGAAAGTCCATCGCGTGACCGACTAGACATAAACAATATTGACTTATTATGAAGCCTAAACAACTATCGTTGGTCTTCGAAGAACTATAAACAAATCATAGTCGTCTAAGGCTCTTGATAACCTATTTAATGAAAATATGCAATACGCAAAGTCAACAGCTAGGTGACGACAGATGCATACGTCAGCGCAGCAGGCAGCGAAAGGGGTATATGAGGCGTAGGCTTAAGAGTCAATCATAATTGGGAGTGGTAGTCTTTCAGCACAACGAATCTAAATCTCGCAAACAAGGAAAAATATATAACTATCTTCATTGTTTAGCACAATCTTGTACTATCGTGTACAAATGGGATGAAACTGAACAGTCGTAATTTGTTCATGTACAATGTAGAATACTAGCCCAAAAATTGATGAAGTAAAATTTTAATTTTACCTTTGATTATAGTAAGATTTTTAACATCAGATAAATCATTTCCCAGTTTATTTTTTGCTTCACAACGATATGAACCAGCGTGATTGAAGTTGACAGATTGAATGATGTATGTCTTATTATTGCTGATAACTGCACCATTATGATAAATAGTGTAGGTTGGTTCAGGATAACCATCTGATTCACAGGTTATTGTCACATTTTGACCTTTTTACTGACATTGGACTGATGGTAATATTGGTTTGTTGTGGTGGATCTGTAAAGAATAAAATTAAATTCAATATTCTACACAAACGTTTATAATGAGATCTGAAATGTTGTCTTACAAACTTACAAGTAGCTTTCACTGTTACTTCAATTGATTTTTCATCTCTAAAACGTGGATCATTATAACTTTGTGCTTTACATCTGTAATTTCCACCATCATTCACTGTAACATTAGTGATTACTAATGTCTTACTTACAACTCCAACATCATCAATTATGTTGTTATCTTTATCAAACCATGTGACATTAGCAGGAGGGTTACCTCCTTCACCTCTACATACACATGACACATTATCACCTTCATTCACAACCAGAGGATTTGAACAACTAATTAAAACATTTGGTTTCACTAAAAAAAGAGAAGATATCGCTTTATATAAGATGTCGGTCTAAGGCTTAAATGTTTCCGTCCCAGTCATGTAAAAGATGCATAATCAGTCATTAAAGACGGAAATTTACCATTACTCTTACAAAAAATTCAATTTTTATCCTTAATCCCTGAAGTGATCCCTCCAAAAAATATGAACACTAACCCATTTCATTTACGCATGCTTTGGCTAATATTATGGAATGCCTTACTGTTACAAAACTGCTTAAAGATAAAATCAATGTACAACAATACGCATGAAAAGGCCACTGTACAACTGATGAAGATGAATTTAAAGCAATTGATGGTAGCTGCTCAACTTTTTTGTAAACTTTTGAAAAGGTTTCAATTCAATAGACCACAATATTTTACAACATAAGTTGGAAAAATGAGCGTTTCTCCTGATCTTATTAAAAGGATTACAGCTTTTAAACTATGATTAAAAACAAGCTGTAAGAATTGGAGATGCTTTGTCTGAATGAAGAGCAATAATGGAAGAGGCACAAAGTTACGTATCATTTTTCATGTAATGTGATGAAAAAGAGATTTACAGCAGAGTGGCCTCTAAGAATCAAGTTTGTTAAAAACATTTTCATCCTCGAGATTTTACCAAAAAATTACCTACAGGATAATGAATATTCATGAATTTTTAGTAACAATGACATGAAACTAAGGGGCTGGTCATACGAGCTCGTAATATTTTTATAAAAATTACAATTGCTTGTTAAGCACCACAAGTCTGTCATGTCGAAATTCTCAAAGAAGATTGATTGTTATAAAATTTCAAAATACAAATAAACTTGTCAGCAATTTTCAATAAGGCTGATTATTCAAGAAGCCAATCATGCTAACCAGTACTTTTTTTCATTTGAAAATATTTTTTTCTGTTGGGAGAATACTCTGGCAGCAGTGATAATGATGGTGAGTTTGAAAATGTGAGTGGGAAAATCGATGATAGTGATGACAATGATGATAACATGTCCATAGCTTCAATGCGAACAAGTAACCCGAGTTGGAGAAAAACTTCATTTGTTGTGTCAGAAACTAGTGTAACATTTACTGGTCCAAACGTTGAAGCCCCAGTGAACATGGAAACAAAAACTCCTCTTCAATATTTTAAGCAATTTGTGAGTGATGATATGCTTCAAAATTTGGTGACAAGCACCAATGAATACAGTGTCCAAAAGTCTGGAAACTCAATAAAAATTAATAAGAAAGAGATAGAACAACTCATGGGTATGTTTTTTCATATGGGCTTGTAAGGATGAGTGGAGTTCGACAGTATTGGGAATCTGCTACTGCATACAGTTCTGTTTGTGATGTCATGAGTCATAATCTATTTCAGCTTTTGTTGAGAATGCTTCATTTTGTGAACAACTCGTTGGTATCTGACAATGACAAGAGAGACAAATTGTGGAAAATTTGACCATGGCTTGAAAAAATGAGAGAAAACTGCCAAAAACATATTCCAGAAGAGCACAATTCAATTGATGAAATGATGTGTAAATACAGAGGAAGGACAAGTCCCATTCGACATTATATCAAAAGTAAACCACGTCCATGGGGATTCAAGGTCTGGTGTAGAGCAGGCGACAGTGGAATATTGTACGATTTTGATGTTTACCAAAGTGGAAATGGGAAAAGAAGTGAATTGGGCCAAGGAGCCGATGTAGTACTAAAGCTGACCTCAACTTTAGCATACCATGCCAATTATAAAATTTATGCAGATAATTTGTTCACAAGTTTCAAACTTCTCCTGCAACTAAAGGCGAGGGGAATGCATTATACTGGTACAGTACGAAAGAATCCATTGTCAGGATGTAACTTGAAGGAGGAAAAGATTTTCAAGAAGACGGGAAGAGGGTCTTATGATCACAGAGAAAAGAACAGCAACATTGTTGCGGTTCGTTGGTTTGACAATAAAGCTGTTACACTCTTTTCTACGCTTATTGGAATTGAGCCTATTATGTCAGCTGAGAGGTGGGATAAAAGAAGAATGGAGTCAAATTGCCCATGCCAGCAGTTATTGATCAATACAACAAGCATATGGGTGGAATTGATCTGCTTGATTCATTTCTTGCTCAATACCGTTTCAAGGTATGATCACGCCGGTGGTACACATATCTGTATTGGCATTTTTTGATGGTGGCAATTGTAAATGCATGGAATTTATACCGGCGTGATTACAGATTGCTGGGACTTCCAATAAAGGAAATGATGAACCGTCGAAACTTTCAGGCATCTGTTGCTTCATCGCTGGTGCATGTAAATTCAAAACGAAAAGTAGGCCGACCATCAACGTCAAGCACTCCAACACCAACCCCGCAACAACCAAAGAAAAAACAGCGATTGCCTACTGCTGATATTCGGAATAATGGCTACTGTCATTGGCCAAAGAAAAGTGAGAAACGTGGGCGGTGCAAACTTTGCATGAAAAACAACACAAACACTGTGTGTATGAAATGTGACGTTCGACTTTGTTTTGTTGAGGAACGTAATTGTTTCTATGATTTCCACCAGTGATAACATTTCAAAAAACATATTTTTTTTCATTCTTAAAAAACCTTGTGTTGTGTTGACTAAAAAAATTATACATTTTGCCCTGCTATTTGAAGTACATATTCTTACAAACCATTCTGAAATGCATAAAGTTATCTTTTATGCCACAGTTAGACCGGTGTTACATATATGTCACGTAACACAATGAGGCTAAAATAGGACCTAACAACAACTTTTTCCCCATTTCAGCAAGTAATGACACCAAATGAGTAAAAAAGTCAATGGAAATAGTTTTAGCTATAGAAAATCACATTGTGGGTTCTACAGAGTTAAAATGATCGACATAAATCATATTGTAATTATATTAAATGTTCAAATAAAAAAATACCAATTTCTAAGATTGATAAAAACACAAAATAATAAAAAAAAAAGGGATGACTTACTTGCAACGAAAACTTTGACTTTGGATATAAAAGGAGATAACGCACGGCCCTTTCTTGCTAATCGAAACTCATACGTTCCATTATAACTATGAGTGATATTTCTTAATTGCAGTGTTGAAGGTTTGTAGACGTCATAATTTGGAGGAATTTGTGCACGTAACTTTATTACATTAAAGTTTTTAAAGACAATGGCCAAAAGTGTTTGTGCTGAACCATTACTACTACCAGTGAAATACCAAGTTCTACTGTCTAAATCACTTTCTCTATCATTAAATGTCCATGTTATATTTTGTGTTTCTCCAGGTAGAAATGTAAAACTTGTGCCAGAGGGAGGTGATTGAATAATTCCTATACATGACAGGAAATAAAAGATAAATGTATAAAATCTAATAACGTTTAATTCATTTTAATCCATTAAATATCAATTATTAAATGAAAACAGTAGCAAAGGATAGATAACAGAAACATATAAAACAAAATTAACATATAGAACAAGGCTCGGACTAACTCCAATTTAAGGAAATTGCCATTTCAATCGTAGGTGGCCCTCGGAAATTACTCCCGTGCCAAATTTATAAATTTATTTTTCAGTGTCTAAAAATGAGGGCATTATGTCGTCATTGATAACAATTTATATTTTTCGGAAAAAATTCAAATATCAGAGCCTTTGCTAGCTGAGTAAAATAGTTTAGTGTTATAAAAAAGAGAAGTCGTTCCATTCCTGATGACTTTGATGTTAGTTGAAAACTTAAAAGTAGTTACACATTCCTGGACATTTTTTTGCTTTTTTTTGTTTGCATTGAACTTCTTTGACTGTTTTCTTTAATTGTAATTTATTTTATAAGTAAAGGGATCAAAGAATTTTTTTCAATTTCAGTCACATTGATATCATACAGCTAGATGTGTACAATAAAAGGCCCGTTTTGATTTCCAGGAGAGGCCCCGATGTGTCATGAGACAATGGCAAATAAGTCAGTCTGAGCCATTAAGAAACATAAGAAACATCTAGTAACATCTTATTCATAACAATCATAACAACGACTACCAAAGCTTAATGAGCATTAGGCTCTTTAAATAAACATACAAAGGCAGGGGTATTCAGGTTTTTGAAGGTGTTCCACAAAGACACCACAATTATAGAGAGAAAAATAATGACCTTAAAATAAACTATTGCAGTATTGCAATGATAATGTTGTTAAAGTGTAATCATTGTTACTATATATTTATACCAGCTGCTAAATTATTTAAGTCAGTATTCAACTACGCGTGAATCAATATATTACACAGACAATGAAGAAGGTTAAGCATAGTAGAATAGTGATGACATTAAGGCCTTGACGCAATATGTGGAGAAAATAACTCATTACTTTAAGGCGAAAAAATTGAAAATGAAGATAAAATCGCTCTATTTGTTAAGTCTTATGAAGGAAAACGTAGAAAGTTTGACGAGTTAAAAGACATTGTGAATGTTTAGAAATTCAACACGGATGTAGGGGGATGAATTGATATCGATATCAGAACATTTCGAATTTGGTGTTCATTAGGTGTACTGTTAAGACATCGATTACTCTAGGACCTATGACACAGAGGATATGTACGCCCTGCATAGAAATAAACCACGCTAAAATTCAGACTCAAACTTAATAAGATTGTTTTGTTCCCATGAAAAACACGGTGAATACGGTCGCTCCTGAATAAATTTTCATGAAGTCTGTTACGCGAAATTTTCTTATTTTTATTACGTAAATGATTAATTTAATTTTCAATACTCCTAATAAAAATTGTGGCATTTTTCATTTTGTGGATGAAAATTTATTTATTTCTTTATTTGGTCCAAATCAGCTGATACACTGTACACAGAGACGTTTACTCACTGAACTAACGTTGGATGAAAATTACACAAGAAATGAACACTCTTTGTCTTCTAAAATACTGCAAGGTATTGCTTTTAAATTATTTCATTCAATGCAGAACTGATTATGGTCATTGTACACAAAATGAAGAATTAAGTAAGTATTTTAGTCAATATACCTTAAAATTCTAAGCAAATTCCACAGTTGTATTTGACAAAAATAGCCATTTACTTCCTTAATGATCTAATAAAAATAATAAATACCTTGACATGTTGAAATCCACCAGAACAAAACAAATGAAAGGAAGTCAAACTTTGCCATCTTGTATTCTGTCTATAAAGGTAAAGTAAAGATGCAATTTAAGTAAAATCACAGAACTGCTACAGAAATATATGATGTATTCCTTCATATTTTATGTATATTTTTGATTTCCTATAACCATTAATATTGAAGGAAACAAGAGCATCAGTAAAACTTCCAAAATTTTTGATAAAAAAATCCTCTGTTGTTGCCAGTAAAACAAGATTTTTTGTTTTGTACTTTGCGGAAGTACTAAAGAGCTTTCCACTATGATACATCTCAGACAACTTCTTAATTCCACAGGAAATTCCGTTAAATGTCAATGAAATTATTTACAAATAATCTTGTCCATCAATATTTGTTAACATTTTAAATGATTCGCTTTACCTTAAACAATACTGAAGTAACTAAGCTGGTGAAAAATCTTCACGTGCTTCTTAAAGAAACCAGCCAATTTTCTTCTTTTCAAAATTATTTCCGGGTCTCATGTTGTGCAAATATTTATATAAGTAATGAAAAGAATGTAAACGCTGTGACAACGCTGTCATATGTAACAGAGCGATCATATTTTATCAAAACCTGTCTCATGACAAGCCACACAAATTACCCAGAGTTGTTTTAAAAACAGAATACCAGCCACACAATCTTTATTCTGTAATTTTATCCATACATATGACTTAATGGTGCTTTTAGATGAATGTATAAATTGTGAAAGCATACTTCGACACGCTGTGCCAATATCCATTTCCTAGTTGATTATAATGCTCTTGAAGACGATGACTATCCACAAGTGGTTTTGTAAGAAAATCATTGTGAAAAATAACATCTGTATAAATCGCTTTTGCTGAAATATTCTTAGTAATTTTCACAATTTTAATGCACAATTAAAATTTCTTATACTTTGTCTACAAAGAATTCCAGATGGGGGACTTTGGAATCACCAAAGGCCCTGGGAAAGCTTGATCCGCCCCTTTACCACATCTATCCTACCAATGATCTTATCCTGCAGTTTTAGATGAAAACACCAAACGTGGCTAGATTGAGAATGTTCTTGACGAGTCCCAGGGGCATGCATCACTGAGAAATTTTGATTTCGTAAAACAGTGAATCAAATGACAAATAACCAAGTTGTCCTTTAACTTTTACCACTTCAACCCATGCAAGCAACTTCAATTCAGATGGTTGGACTGCAAACTTCTGTTTAGCAAAGGACTGTACATGGATGACGTCGACTTTGCTCTTTTAATCGGGTATATTAGAAGTTAAGATTGTTTAAAAAAGAGCAAATACCATGGTGAATGGTTAAAATAATAACGTAACAGTTCTTAAAAGAACTGTTTAAAACCAGAACACTAAACTCAACAAGTCACCAAAACAAATTCAGAAATTAAAAGTACAAAAGTAATGTTCTAAATTTCTTTTAATCGTTGTATTTACATTGTTTTACCATTAGCTTAGAATCTTAAATGAAAGAAAATTTTACAAAATTTTAGTAAATATGGGGACAATATAGAATTGCAAATCCGGTTTAAAATAAAGCGTATTCACTCCCAAGTAAGACACTTGAATTTTAGGAATCATTTCAGTGTAAGAAATAATTGAAAATCTGCATTCTGCGGTATATATATATTTAGGCTATCTTCTACCTTAGGCTATCCTGCTCATCTGTCATTGATTATCATTACAGGTCAATGAATATTGCCCACTGATGAGCATAATTGAGATGTTCGCTCGCTGAAAACTACCATTACACGAAGCAAGGACAGCACTATCCATTGTGCAGTGACTCACACATTAAAATTTTGTTACATTTTGTTCACTAAATTGCTTCAATTGCAGTATGCTGTCTTTCTAGAAATTTTTAAATTAAAAATTGCTATTACCGCCCAAGCTTGCTGAAACAAAGCCACTCAATGTTAGCTTGTCTTTGGGGGTAGGTCAAATCTCACATCTACAGTAGACACGAAAATAAAGAAGCAAATAATAATGATCACGAAATTGTTTTATTCGTAAACATCTCTTACACTAATGCATATGAAATCATTCAATCGTAAAGAAATAATTTAAAGAGTTTTCCATCACACTCCTTGACATTGCTTGATTTTTCTATCGAATTTCTACACTTAATTTCTACATAAATAAAAGTTTACATGGTTTAACCATGATAATTAAAATAACAAAAGTAAAACTACGATTAAAACAATATTCTATTCAAAATGCTGTGTTAAAGTCAGTGTAATGTTGTTGCCTTATAAAGGCAAGTAAAATACATTCACAAACTGTAGCATAGATGCCAAGATTCAAGTTTGTTCATGGCAAAAGATTATGTACACAGACACAATCATAAAGTATTCGGTTTAATATTGTTTAGAGATCAAATCTAGATTATATAATGAAGAACAAAATAAAACTTTATAAATGTAGTAACAGTCTTTACGTACTCTTGTTTTATTAACGACGATCGCCAGTTCTAAAGGAAATTTATAATAAGATTAAACTACCATAATAAGAGAAAGAAAAACATGTTTTCGGCATTTTTAAAAAATATTCAACAAATGAATCAATTTTACTTTTTCTTCAACCATCAATTAATGACGTCGATCTTTGTGGATCTTTTCCAAAAGATAAAACTTACTATTCCTTCTTTTCATCGCCTTTTTTGTCATCCCTTTTCTTGTCGTCTTTTTTCTCGACAGGTGCCAGTTTACTCATATCAATACTGGCATATTCAGTCGGTGCAGGACGATTTTGGGCCGGGTTTTTTCAAGGGACATCTTTTAAATCAAGTGAGGAGTATAACTACAGAAAAAATACGTATATATTGTCATTACAAACATTGTTTTTTTCTATTATGTTTGAGCACTCTGGTTACAAAACAATCCATACAATGTGTAACCGTACATCCTGTGTCCCAAGTGCAGGAGTCACCATTTTACTATGGTGATAGCCGGGAGGGCACATTGTTATCACTTTGTATATACTTTATCATATATACATGATGATAAAATATATGTAGGTTTTTTAATCATCGTAAACAATCTAATAAACCCGTGACGTTAAATAAATTCCAAAGCAGTTCGAGAGAGGGGAGGGACGTTCAGTTGACACGAGTAGTGAAATAGAGAGATGTTTACACCATTTTCTATCACCTTATTGTGAGCAAACAGAAACAAAGTCAAGACTAAATATACGGTTTCTTAGCCCAATCGATAACAAAATTTAAATTATGACAATGTGCCGGGTTTGTCTATTGCAGACTGAGCGCTTATTAGAGACACTCGTCTAATATAAAATCAAGTTTCAATGAAGCAATTCGTATGTATTGTTTTTAAGTGTGTTTACAGGTCTTTGGGAATCAATTACTGCTAAATAACAATAATTCTAAATATCGGGTGCTTTCACATACGAGCAGTTTTTAACCCCTGCATAATCCCATGATGCATTCAAATTAATCATCGCCATAATCCAACTAAAACAAAATTAATGCACAAATCCTATTTCTAAATAATAAATGACAAATATCCACAACAAACCGGATTTCCTTTCTGTTTTCTCTATCGATCGAGGCATATACAGGTGGTGGTGCTTTGCTTGTTGATGGTTTACTTTCATCACTTGTTGATGGATTATTTACTGTTTCATATTGATTAACAGATTCATGAATAATCAATATTAAATAAGCATTTTTTCTAAGTTCTCCAGCCACTTCATAATGATTGGGTTGTGCATTATTAGCTCCTGCTAATGGTTCAACACCATTTTCACCACTGCAATATTAACAACCATGATTAAATTTTGTACATGATATGGACGAAACGAAGAAAATATAGATAAAACATTAATACAACAGTTCGTACTGTACGAAAACAACAGCTTCTCTAACTTGCTCAAACCATGAAAATATTTTATTCAAAAGATGAGAAATAAAAACACATTAACATCACATATCACACAAAGAAAATAAAATGAATAATTCACTTACTGGTATCTTTTTTCTACAATAAACATAACACAAAAGTAGATACTTAATAATTTAGCATTATGATAACATATGATAACAAGATTGGAGCATTTTGATTGAGCATTGGATAGATTGAATTGAACATTTCCATTAAGTCTAAGGCAAAGGTCGAGATGTTAATTGCATTGTGTGGCTAGAGCTAAAGAATGCTATAAAAGAGCGATTTGCTTAAATTTTCTTTTAAGGATTTTTAGCATCTCAGGTAGCGCATGGAAAGTGAACAGAAAGAGCTAATAGTATTTTAAACATAAATATGATTTTAAAGCATTGTAAATAAATTACCTTTCGTGTTGCAATCAGTAGATGAATATTTTGACAAATGCTTAAACGACAAATGCTAAAATAGCTACACAGAAATCAACTCAAATTATAATGTCAAAGAGATGAAAATGCTGACAGAATACTGAATGACAGAAATATCTATCGAAAAAAATAATAATAATTGACCAAAAAGAACAATTCAAATGAAAGAGTGAAACTCCATCTTTTTACCTTGGTTGATGGCGAAATTCTTAACATCAAATCTTTGCCCAGTGTAAACATGCTTCACAACGATAAAAACAACGATAAAAAGGCAAAATTTGATGCCACGGATCCGGGTGAAGCAATCTGAGTCCATAGAGCATGCGCAGTAGCTGATTTACAATTTGAGTACGATCACAATTTTAGACGGCCGAACTACGACTAGCGTAAGAATGGCCATGTCTAAGTCATTTACCAACAAGCGCATATCGCGCTAATCAGTAAAAGTCCAGATTAGTGGAATTTTCCCACTAATTTGGTAACTAATGAGATTTTTGGCCGCTGCTTCATAAAGCAATTTACTTTATGAAAATTTTCATTTGTAAAAAAGACTTTTTTACAATCTTGTACTATCGTGTACAAATGCAAGTCAATTGAAGATGAACATTGACAAGTCGTAAATAATTCTGATTTACGCACAAAGTAGGAAACTATCTCAAAATTGATGAAAGTAAGATTTTAATTTTACCTTTGATGATAGTAAGATTTTTAACATCAGATAAATCATTTCCCAGTTTATTTTTGCTTCACAACGATATGAACCAGCGTTATTGAAGTTGACAGATTGAATGATGTATGTCTTATTATTACTGATAACTGCACCATTATGATAAATAGTGTAGGTTGGTTCAGGATAACCATCTGATTCACAGGTTATTGTCACATTTTGACCTTTCTAACTGACATTGGACTGATGGTGATATTGGTTTGTTGTGGTCGATCTGTATAGAATAAAATTAAATTCAATATTCGACACAAACGTTTATAATGAGATCTGAAATGCTGTCTTACAAACTTACAAGTAGCTTTCACTTTTACTTCAATAGATTTTTCATCTCTAAAACGTGGATCATTATAACTTTGTGCTTTACGTGTGTAATTTCCACCATCATTCAATGTAACATTAGTGATTACTAATGTCTTATTTACAACTCCAACATCACCAATTATGTTGTTATCTTTATCAAACCATGTGACTTTAGCAGGAGGGTTACCTCCTTCACCTCTACATACACATGATACATTATCACCTTCATTCACAACCAGCGGTGTTGAACAATTAATTACCACATTTGGTTTCACTGAAATTAAAAACAGAAAACATTCCTTTCTTAAATTCGTTATGAAAAGAAAATTAATAATGAGAGTATTCGTTAGTGTTAGGTGCATTTTCTTAGGAGTGTTGGATCGATGCCCTAACCAGTCACAAGCCAGCACAAAGCCCGCTTATCACTCTAAAAGTCCAGATTAGTGGAAATTTTCCACTAAACTGCTATCCAATGAGATTTTGCATTAAACCGCTGCATTATTAACCAATTTGCTTAATGAAAATTTCCTTTGATGTTGAAAGAACAACAAAATAACAATAATCATTCAACTTTCAAGATGCATATTAATAATGAATTTTGAAATTTTGAAAGTCAATCGCGTGACCGACTAGACATAAACAATATTGACTTATTATGAAGCCTAAACAACTATCATTGGTCTTCGAAGAACTATAAACAAATCATAGTCGTCTAAGGCTCTTGATAACCTATTTAATGAGGATATGCAATAAGCAAAGTTAACAGCTAGGTGACGACAGATGCATACGTCAGCGCAGTAGGCAGCGAAAGGGTATATGAGGTGTAGGCTTAAGAGTCAATCATAATTGACAGTGGTAGTCTTTCAGCACAACGAATCTAAATCTCGCCAACAAAGAAAAATATATAACTATCTTCATTGTTCAGCACAATCTTGTACTATCGTGTACAAATGGGATGAAACTGAACAGTCGTAATTTGTTCATGTACAATGTAGAATACTAGCCCAAAAATTGATGAAGTAAAATTTTAATTTTACCTTTGATGATAGTAAGATTTTTAACATCAGATAAATCATTTCCCAGTTTATTCTTTGCTTCACAACGATATGAACCAGCGTGATTGAAGTTGACAGATTGAATGATGTATGTCTTATTATTACTGATAACTGCACCATTATATGATAAATAGTGTAGGTTGGTTCAGGATAACCATCTGATTCACAGGTTATTGTCACATTTTGACCTTTTTTACTTTTGTTACAGGGTTATGTTGGTATTTCTTGGACGATCTAAAATAAAAATTCACATTTTACACTTACGTATTTGAAAAAGCAAAACATCTATAGCAAAAAAGTATAAATATAAAGTTGAAGACTTACATTCACTATTATTTCAATGATTTTTCATCTCTAAAACGTGGATCATTATAACTTTCTGCTTTACATGTGTAATTTCCACCATCATTCACTGTAACATTAGTGATTACTAATGTCTTACTCAACTCCAACATCACCAATTATGTTGTTATCTTTATCAAACCATGTGACATTAGCAGGAGGTTACCTCCTTCACCTCTACATACACATGACACATTATCACTTTCATTCACAACCAGAGGAGTTGAACAATTAATCAACACAGTTGGTTTACTGAAATTAAACACAAAATCATTATAATTAGTCATGATAGAAATATATGGAATTCTGTATGTTAGTGGGTAGAAGTGTTGAATTATAAAGCAGGAATATTATCTGTATGTGCTGATTTAAAAGGATAAATTTTAACATTCTACAGTCAGGATATTATACTGCATGTCAATAATATTAAAGTTAAATGTAATGTCTTATTTGTTACTTTATTGGTTAAACTCTGTAGCAAATAAGAGTAATAACTTATGAAAGCAAAACTTACATTTTACTTGTATTTCAATGATTTTTGCTCTGAAAACCTGGATTATCAAAACTTTGTGCTTTATATGTGTAACTTCCACCATCATTCAATGTACATTAGTGATTACTAATGTCTGATTTATAACCTAACATCACCAATTATGTTGTTATCTTTATCAAACCATGTGACATTAGGCAGGAGGTTTACCTCTTCACCTCTAGCATGTACATGACACATTACCACCTTTACTCACAACCAGAGGAGTTGAAATAATTAATTATCATTGTCTATTTATTGAAAACAAAAACAGAAAATTTCTAGTCAATATTAAAAAGAAAATCTCAATATATGGTGAAAAGTAATTGATAAATAAAATCAAGTTTTAAACATAGCAACCCCTACTAGGAATTTAGGAAAGCAACATTTTCATAACTTGATAAGTTTTATTGACTATAGGTGAATTGCAGCCGATCCCTAAGGAGTGGCAAAGATATTCTATCTGGGTTGAAATTTAAATCGTAAATACGACATTTCCTTTGCCAAATCTAACCAAATAATTATATATAAGAACACATTTTCATGATAAAACAAACCATAGTCTATAATTGTCTTATTTTATGGCATTGAGGAAATGTGGAGGAGTACTGAGTGTTTGTTCATAATTGAGAAATTTTAATCTACATTTTCCACTCATGCTGTGGCTTGATAGAAAATGCATAGTTTCTTTATAAGCGTTTGTTTAGGCTTAGTTAAAAATCATGTTAATTTATGGAAAACAATGCTGATAGTTTACGCAACAATCCAATAATAATTAAAACAAAGACTTTGTCGTTTGACAATTTGTATTTTCCAGCCAAACTAAAAGGAGTATTTCGGGTCCAACATGCCTGTGCCATAAAAAGTAACAGAAGAAAGGTCTGAAATATCATAAGCGTTTTTCAAAGTGCAAAACCTGATATCATTTCTGAGGTAGAGAAATAGGTACTATTTCTAAACAAACCATTGAAGATATACATGTAAAGCCTTACTTGATTCTACAATTTGATGTAGCCACTAACTACGAAAGAGCTTAAAGGTCTAAAATGTCTGTTATTTTTTTGTTAATTAAAATGTTTAAACCTGTTGAAAATTACATTTTACCCTTTAGGTGAGAAATAAAAAGTCATATCTAAATGATATGAATGGCTCCGCAGATTTTTCTGACTGTGATCAAAAGAAGATCGTGTTTATTGCTTTATCATGCGTGCTTTTGACACAAATTTTAAGTAAATGCTCAAGACTAAATGTTCACCTTTCGTCATTGGAATGATGGTAGGTACATTTAGGCGACATGTTGAAACTTACATGGGGAAAATGGGACTACATGCTTCTACTCTCCAATTTTGATAATGAACGATCTCAATTGTCAGGTGTAGCTCAGCCAATTGAAAATTCCTTTGATACCAATGTGAAAACAAGAAATCTAGAAAATACAAAATATCTTAAACTCATTTAATTGTTGATACAGGTCATGAGGAAAAGCGTTGATTATTGAAAAGGATGTTAAACTTGCTGAAGAAGTCACGTCGAAGAAACTAGGTGATCTAGCTTCGGAATGAAAGTTCAAAATTCAAAACATTGAATAATTGGCGCGAATTTTAAATGCTTTTAAAAATGAAAACTCTGATTCGGTTGAGTGATTGCTCTT